TAATTTTCCCTTTGGGGCCCCGCCCTGGCCCCAGGGGTTGGGGTAGGAATCCCAATTTTACAATTTTGAAGCCTCATCTACCAAGGATGATTCTGACCAAGTTTGAAAAAAATCCATCCACTGGTTCTTGAGAAGAAGTTGAAAATGTAAAAGTTTACGCACGACGCACGACGGACGACGGACGACGACGGACGAAAAGTGATTAGAATAGGTCACTTGAGCAAAGCTCAGGTGACCTAAAAAGAGTGCCCAAGATGGGTCGAAAGACAGAGGAACACAAACATTGTTATCAAGTTTGAAAGAATTTGGCTAATATTTGCTAGAGTTATTAAGCGGAAACTGCAGATTATGACGTTTTTCATTAATCAAGGGGCCATAACTCCACCAAATGGAATCAATCAAAGTAGTTGTCAAACTTGGTTGAGCCCTTAATGCGTTGAACCCTGTTACTAAGGTTGAAGACAATCAGATAATATTTGCAAGAGTGAATGAACAGACACGGCAGTTAATGACGTTTTTCATTAATCAAGGGGCCATAACTACGCCAAATGGAGTCTCCTGAAAGTGGTCATCGAACTTTGCCGAGCCCTTAAGACATTTAACCCTGTTACCAAGTTTGAAGAAAATCTGTTAACATTTGTTGCAGTTATTGCACGGAAACGGCAGATAATGATGTTTTTCGCTATTCAAGGGGTCATAACACCGCCAAATAAAGTCTGCTGAGACAGACGGACAGACACAAATTAATATCCCCCGTTTATGTGAAAGAGAGGGATTACTAGCTTTATGGTACAATACAATATCTGCATTGTGTTATACTCAGTTAAACTGAAAACAAAATATATGCTCTGGTCACTTGTCTTTTAATTTCTTTGAGAAGTCGGGCAGATATATAGTTAAAAAAAATGTCTATCCTGGGAGCTGCAATATTGAAGTTTGCCAGACTGCTGGAATTCTCCCCTCGGAGATGTAACAGTACTGAAAGGTTCGTTAGACTGATATAATCAGTTTACGTTACCTGCCAGGCCAGCATGTGGTTAATGGTTCATGTTCCACCTTGATAACATGGTTCAGGTCTGTCTGGGCAGTGTTGGGGAGCTCTGCTGTGCTGATGGCACTGTGTACAGTCACGTCTGTCTCCTGGGGGTTCAGGTTGAATGAATCAATGGGATTTGCATCCGTCTCGTTGTTGTATAGCATAAGTATGTTGTCTTCCAGCGACGCCCATTTCCTCTCCCAGCCCTGTGTCCCTGTACTGTAATACAGCAATCGCAGAATGATGACATGTAAGGAAATCTATTATAGCGTAAACATTCTCCATGCATACAGGTCTACTGTACAGGTCTGTTTGAGGAAGCTCTATATGTTCCTAAGTGTAAGACACCTTGGTATCAGACAGGTTCATACAAGGATTTAATAACATTTTTTTCAATTACATGCTGGTATAAACATTGAAAAACATTGTTAAATCCTTATATTTATATTCTAAATTTTTGTTATTATTGACCTTAATACCGATATTCCCTTAGATTTTCGATATTGAGATGTTTATGTCCTGGAACAGAATGTTTGATTCTAGCGGTTGTCTCATATTATTTGAAGCAGGAGAAGCTTCAAAATGACACTGATCCAAATGCGTTCATAGCCCTATGACATCATTTCTTATGGCACAATAGTAATATGTGTAGTTAGAGGAATTAGCAGCGGAAATGTAAATATATAGCACAACTAGTGAAACCTTTGTGCTAACTGAACCTGTATATCATGTATACTTACCAACCAGAAGAAAATGTTCAGAAATTATCCATGAGCCTCTTTGGGTAAGAACATTGTACCGTTTTAATTTCATGTTTAAGTGTATGGTAGCTGGGTATCTTGATGAAGCCCAATATGTGTGTGAGTGTATGGTACAATGAGTCTTATATTTGAGGAAGTCCAATATCCAAGTGTATTGTACCTGGGTATTTTGAGGAAACCTTGCATGTGTATGGGTTTATCATCCTTGCACAGTGACAGCTTTCTGTTGACCGGTGTATTCTCGTCCAGGCTCATTATCTCCTGGAAGTGTTGGACATACTCTGTAGGAAGGCCACAGGTGGCGGGAGCTGCTGAGACACACTTTGGGTGACATACCATGTGGTACTCGGTAACAGTATACACGGTAATTATACTGGAGCTGCTGAGACACACTTTGGGTGATATACCATGTGGCACTCTGTAACATTATACACGGTAATTATAATGGAGCTGCTGAGGCACACTTTGGGTGACATACCATGTGGTACTCGGTAACAGTATACACGGTAATTATACTGGAGCTGCTGAGACACACTTTGGGGGACATACCATGTGGCATTCTGTAACAGTATACACGGTAAGTATAATGGAGCTGCTGAGACACACTTTGGCTGACATACCATGTGGCACTCTGTAACATTATACACGGTAATTATAATGGAGCTGCTGAGACACACTATGGGTGACATACCATGCGGCACTCTGTAACAGCATACACGGTAATTATAATGGAGCTGCTGAGGCACACTTTGGGTGACATACCATGTGACACTCTGTAACAGTATACACGGTAATCATAATGGAGCTGCTGAGACACACTATGGGTGACATACCATGCGGCACTCTGTAACAGCATACACGGTAATTATAATGGAGCTGCTGAGGCACACTTTGGGTGACATACCATGTGGTACTCGGTAACAGTATACACGGTAATTATAATGTAGCTGCTGAGACACACTTTGGGTGATATACCATGTGGCACTCTGTAACAGTATACCCGGTAATTATAATGGAGCTGCTGAGACCCACTTTGGGTGACATACCATGTGACACTCTGTAACAGTATACACGGTAATCATAATGGAGCTGCTGAGACACACTATGGGTGACATACCATGCGGCACTCTGTAACAGCATACACGGTAATTATAATGGAGCTGCTGAGACCCACTTTGGGTGACATTCCATGTGACACTCTGTAACAGTATACACGGTAGTTATAATGGAGCTGCTGAGACACACTTTGGCTGACATACCATGTGGCACTCTGTTACAGTATACACGGTAATTATAATGTAGCTGCTGAGACACACTTTGGGTGATATACCATGTGGCACTCTGTAACAGTATACACGGTAATTATAATATTTCTGTTGTCACAAAGATGACTCAAGCAATAAAATAGAAAGACAGAAAAAGGTGAATTAAATCTTTTACAATATGAATGGTATTTTCACAAAATCAACCAAAATTGGTGTACTAAACTAGATAAAGCTTTTATAGTGCCTACACTGCATAAACTTGTAATTCATTCAATCCTTCGTAAAGACCAGAAATAATAGAGAACATGTTTTCATGGAATGAATGAACTGAATTGGTTAATCGAGGGTTTAAACGTTTTTTGTCACCTATTGTCAGACACTGCTGGTCCTAGTTACAGGAGGAAAGATTATTGGGGATATTTTCACACTGATCCAAGTATTTTGACACGTTTTTCATTTTCAAAACTGTTTCACTGATCCAAGTATTTTGACATGTTTTACATTTTCAAAACTGTTTCACTGATCCAACTGTCTACTGGAACATTTGAATGTCAGTTAAATATCATATATTTGGTGTCCTTATATGATCTGTGGTACCAGTGTCAGCCAAATGTAAATTTGCATCAATGTTTCCTGTCCTACAAGACACAGCACAGGTGTGACAGCTCACCTATACCACACAGCACAGGTGTGACAGCTCAACTACACCACACAGCACAGGTGTGACAGTTCACCTACACCACACAGCACAGGTGTGACAGCTCGCCTACACCACACAGCACAGGTGTGACAGCTCCCCTACACCACACAGCACAGGTGTGACAGCTCGCCTACACCACACAGCACAGGTGTGACAGCTCAACTACACCACACAGCACAGGTGTGACAGTTCACCTACACCACACAGCACAGGTGTGACAGCTCGCCTACACCACACAGCACAGGTGTGACAGCTCCCCTACACCACACAGCACAGGTGTGACAGCTCAACTACACCACACAGCACAGGTGTGACAGTTCACCTACACCACACAGCACAGGTGTGACAGCTCGCCTACACCACACAGCACAGGTGTGACAGCTCAACTACACCACACAGCACAGGTGTGACAGTTCACCTACACCACACAGCACAGGTGTGACAGCTCAACTACACCACACAGCACAGGTGTGACAGTTCACCTACACCACACAGCACAGGTGTGACAGCTCCCCTATACCACACAGGACAGGTGTGACAGCTCCCCTACACCACACAGCACAGGTGTGACAGCTCACCTACGCCACACAGCACAGGTGTGACAGCTCGCCTACACCACACAGCACAGGTGTGACAGCTCATCTACACCACACAGCACAGGTGTGACAGCTCAACTACACCACACAGCACAGGTGTGACAGTTCACCTACACCACACAGCACAGGTGTGACAGCTCGCCTACACCACACAGCACAGGTGTGACAGCTCACCTATAACACACAGGACAGGTGTTACAGCTCACCTACACCACACAGCACAGGTGTGACAGCTCACCTACACCACACAGCACAGGTGTGACAGCTCACCTTGACACTTGGATGCCTGTTTGACAAACGGTACACTGCCGAGACAGACAGCACACTTGGTAGCGCGTGTGTTGAGTCCCGTGATGAAGCGGTGCGGGATGTTGTGGTGCATCCTCTGACTGGCAGTCTGGGGAAGGCTGTAGGAGTACACACTGCTAGACCTCTTCACACTCGGGGTCAGTAGGTTGACTGATGCAGAGTGAGCTGACGGCGACCTAACTAGGGCAGCCACAGCAACTCTGTCGCTTGGCGTCAGGGTGTCATTTTCCTTCAGGGATCCCATCAATTTTAATACTGAAAATATTAACAGTTCTTTGTCTACTTGGAAACTCTAAACTTCTCTGTATGATTACATTTACCACTCTTTTTCTAGAACATTTTCCTGTAAGATTATGTTTACCATATTTCTGTGTAATTATTTACTATTTTACAGCATATTCTCCATTTTTCTATATTCATTATATCTACCAGTTCTCTGAAAAAATCATAGATACCAGTGGGTATCATTATTCTGTACGATTACATGTTTATATTAACAGTTCTCTGTATAAATACATAAAGAAACAAAATGTATCTGAAAAAAAACCTTAAATTTTTTGTTTATTCTATATGATACAAAATGCTTTATATCGGTTAGTTGTGAGTCATATGTATACAGCATGTTTGTTTTAGTCTATGATTAAACAGTCTAATGGGATTTAACTATTGACATTGACAAAACAATGATAAAATATTGTCTTAAAATAGTCAGAGTGACCTTGACATTAATTGCAGCCAGCTGAAACCCATGATAAAATATTGTCTTAAAATAGTCAGAGTGACCTTGACATAAATTGCAGCCAGCTGAAACCCATATTTGTTTAAGTGGTAAAGAACTTGCATAATACTGAGGCCCTGGCCTGTAATCATGAAACCATTCTCATGCTAAAGCATGGATTTTGTGCTCATGCCAATTTTTTTTGTTCCCGTCATAAATTAATAAAAAAAACAACTTTTTGTCAATTGTTTGGAAAATTATTTAACTCATTCACCCCTGAAGACACATTTGCACTCTTCCAATTCAAAGATTGGAATAGTTCATCATGAAATTTCAGGGATGAATGAGTTAAGAGACTTAAAAGCCAAATACAGTTTTCAATGTTTACATTTGACTTTTTGATCGTTTGACATGATCTAAGCGAGTTACAAGAAGGTTGGTTTGAGCACAGAATCCATGCTTGAGCATGAGAACAGAATACGGGCCCAGACTCTGGCCTTGATTATTTTGAAAAGAAATCCTTAATTTACAAACTTTATTGACAGGTATTTCCCTTATTCTACATTGATCATGGTCGCAATATTTCTTGTGTAAATCAGTTATCTTTGTCACATAGAAATTCTATTGGTAAATTTTCTTTAATTAGATAGGATTTGCAGTAATAGAAAATTGTTTTGGGCAAGTAACAAGAGCTCATATTACCTTGGTAACAAGGGTTCACAGTAGATAACTAGAACTGTAAGCCAAAGGCTTACTAAGGCAAAGCAATACAGTCTCCCGCTCCTATATAAACCAGAACTGTTGACTTACAAAGGCAAAGCATTGCAAAAAAATATAGTCTCCCACCAGTAATGATTACTTTATTGGCTGAGCTGTACAATGATTTAAGTATACAGGTCACTCACATACTTCCTGTACTCACCCTCAATGCCAAAACATACTTGCAAACCAAATTTTGTTAGCCCAGATGAACAAGGTTTGCTAAATTGTCCTAGTAGTTTAAGAAAAGATGTGAGAGCAAAGGTTTTTAGCAAAGGGCCATAACTCCTTAAAAAGAGTTGAAAAGATAAAATTCTGCCCTGATGCACGACATTAGGGAGTAATTACCACATCTTTACACTTTCATTGAAATTGGCCAAGTAGTTTAGGTGGCATACAAAGTTTGTTTTCAACAAAGGGGCATAACTCCTTTTAAAAGGGTCAGAATGAAAAAGTACTACTTGGATGCACAACGTCAAGGGGCAGTTGCCATATCTGTAAACCTCCTTTGAATTTGGCCACATAGAATAGGAGAAGTTGTCGGGACAAGGGTTTTTCAACAAAAGGACATAACTGCATAAAAAGGGTTGGAAAAAAATACCTGGATGCACAACTTTAGGTGGTAGTTATCATATCTGAAAAGGTCCGTTGAAATTGGGAGCATAGTGTTGGAGTTGTCTGGAGAAGTATTTTTCATCAAAGGACCATTACTCCGTAAAAAAGGGTCAGAATGAAAAAAAATATCAGGTGGGAGTTATCATATCTGAAAACTTTCATTGAAACTGGTCCATAACTTTAGAAGGAAGTGTCCGGACATCCGAACAGACAGACAGACAGACAGACAGACAAACAAGTATACTCTCCCTAACTTCATTGCCGGGGTTATAACAAGGGTGCATATTACCTAGATAACAAGGGCTCATATTGAGTATTTATATCCCAAACTTACAGTTGGTTAACATTGATTTTTTAATAAAGACCTTTATCTTTAGAAACAATAATGTCAGATTATCTTGTATGCATACAAAAAAGCACTTGAGTTTACAAGTTCTAGCAGAAGCACCAAACGGTTTTCATCTGTTTTCCCTGATATCCGAACACACAATCACAGCATGTTAACTAAAAGAAGATATATTTCACCACAACCATACACTAAATATGACAGGTGTATAATTTGTCAGGAGTAAATGTGACACGATGGCCGCCCATACCTGACTGATTTTTCTCCGAGGCTCCAGGTATGGTATTCTCCTCACACCCTGATAGTGTGTATTAAATATGTCATGATAGATGGATATTGTTGTCATGGAAACAAAGCCAATACGTAGGAAATTTCAGACTGACACACAGAATTTCCACGTTTCATTTAATTTTTTGCACCACATTGTTGTCTTAAAAAGGAGAAGTCTCCAAAACTAATATTTTTTCACCAAATTGTGCATTTCAATCGTTCATTCCTGACCTACATTTTCTTGCCTTCATGAAAGTTTTTATATATGCAATCGAAAAGAATTACCTACATAACATTCTCTATGAATTATCCGATTTCAATATATATACATCATAACACACATTACTATTCTCTAACTTCCCCATCAGTTACTCTGGTTGTATATCCACATACTAATATCTATGTGCTCTGTCAGTTATCTCTGTTGTAAATATATGAAGAAATGCCTACCTCTCCTATATCTACATTTATGAAGAAAAATGCCTACCTCTCCTATATCTACATTTATAAAGTAATGCCTACCTCTCCTATATCTACATTTATAAAGAAATGCCTACCTCACCTATATCTACATTTATAAAGTAATGCCTACCTCTCCTATATCTACATTTATAAAGTAATGCCTACCTCTCCTATATCTACATTCTTAATGTTATACCTTCCTCTGCTATCATTTTATAACAAGAGTGACAACTTAACTACTTCTTATCTTTTTATAGGACAGTTCTGTACTTACACTCATTAGCCTGTGCAAACTTTTCCTGCCTCAGTTTCTCGTTCTGTTCCTGAAGTTTATTGCAGCGCTTGCGTTCCTGGTCGAGTGCCGTCTGTAGGTCAAGGTAGGGCATCGGGTTTCCAGGGCTGAGAACATCCTTAGTTTTAGCACTTCCAAATAGCTTACTCCCCGACTACAACAGGGACATAAAAAATCCTTAACACTTCAAAACAACTTATTCCAGCACTACATAAGCAGCATATATCAAGATTAGCTAAACATTCTTTGTCAAACACTCCCAAATAACTTACTCCCCAAGTACAACAGGGAAATACAGTATTCTTTGACAAACACTCCCAAATAACTTACTCCAAGATTACAACAGGAGTACACACCATTTGTTATTAACACTCCCAAATAACTTACTCACTGACTACAACAAGGAAATATAATATCCTTAACACTTCTCGCTCACAATGGCTTACTCCCAGACTACTACAGGGGCATATCACATCTTGTCCTCAACATTCCCAAACATTTTAGTCCCTGTCCCTGACTTATATTCAGCCAGAGCGATAGATTACTTTACAACTTTAATACAAAACTTGTTTTGGAAAAATATCAATGCACAATAGTCTGATTTATTGAACAAATTTTCCCAAACTAATCCTGTATACCTTTTTCTTCTTAGTAGCACTGTTCTCAGCCCACAGCGCATGGAGGTAGTCAATGAGCTTCATCTGCTGGCCGATGGTACTCTCAAACTTGTATTTCTCCAGGAAATGAACACCCTAAATTGTAACAGTAAAATATTACAATGTCAACATATACATATATAATTTTATCAGCTCACTATCTGATGATGGTCGGCAAAATATTAGGGCCAAACTTTCACTGAAAATTAAGTACCTGGCTTAAGATCTCAATGAGCTTATGAGAGCACACAATACATCCTCCGAGAATGAGAATACATCGAAAGAATATCCATAATAGTTATGGCCTTGACAAAACTAACTATATTAGAGCCAAAAGGACATGAAATAAATTATTTCCTTTTTGGCAATAGGTGACATAATATTGATGCCTATTGTGTAACAGTAACCAGATCAAGGACATATGCTATGTAAGCTCCGGTATCAGCGTGATAGGTGAAAGCTAATGAAAATTACCAGAACTTTTACTATAAGGATAGATATCTGACCTGCAGAGCATCTGTAAAGCCTTCCAGGTCCATCTTTTCACCAAAGATGAGCTCAAATTTGTCCATGGCCTCGTCCAGATGGTGCTTCAGCTTAAGGTTCTTTGTCCGCAGATCCTGGCACTCCGTCATTACAGTGGAGATCTGTAAAAATTCACTCTCCATATCAACACATCACACTTTATACGGTATCTTATAGCTAGGTTGATGTGTAAAAATTACAAATTGAAGAAATGCTAAATCTGTGAGTTTCAAATTATCAGGTTAGTTATGTTTGCTGTCATGTTAAATTTTAATTATCATATGGGAAAATGAAATGCTGAATACAGTATTTTATAGACACCAACAAACGTATATTTAATAAGATAAAACAAGTTATTAATATTAAGCATATCTTACAAATTAACAGAAATTTACAGTAGAAACGTGTATAATACCATATAGCATATTTCTCTGGAAACAGATATTCAAATGAATGTAGAAATCGTTTAAGTAACAGACATGTACACAATGAAAACTGCCTAAATGACAATCTGTCTATGAAGATCACCTGGTCCTATCTACCATAGAAAGATACTCATATTGTGATTTTTTTTAACTAACAATCTCTCAATGAAGACCATCAGGATGATCTTTATCAACACGGTTCTCTGTAAAGTCTTCACTTAATAATGAAATAAACACAATTATTCATGCAGTATTTTACCTGTATCACCTCTTTTTTAATGTTCTCTAAATCAGACATCATTAACCTCCTATCATCCCTCGCTTCTTTTAAATATGTTGAATTTTAACAAATAAGTCAGTGATGACTGTATGTTATTAATGATATACTTAGCAACATTATTTTCACCAAATTGGACAAAATAATTGGCCAAATCATGGAACATTAATGTAAAATGGAGCAAAAAGCTTTAAGAAATTGAATTTTCTTTTTTTTTATATAAAAGATGAGAAAGTTTTAAAGACAGATTTGGTTTCAGATGAGTTACCTCCTCCTTGAGAGCTCTTTTCTCATCCAGGTCAGCCTCTAGGTTACGTTTCTGTGAGTCGGCCACACACTTGAGCTGCATGTTGTGTTCCTTTAGCTCCGACACCTGTTGGACAGTACATTGTATGTAATCACCTTGATCTATGTTGTACGCAATAACAAATCATAAATATTCCACCAGTCAAATATCCTTACCAGTACAATCCATATCTGTCTAGTGACTGTGTAAATGTTACCCTTCACAGTGGGAATACAACCAGTAACAAGCAACCCCTCCACTACCACATTGTACACAGTGAATACTATTCTTGTAATAAAGCTGCTTATTAATTTTTGTCATCATTATCACCCGCATTGTGAAAGGGAAAAGGACAAAAGTGAAACTAGTAAATACTAATATTTCTTGGTTTACAACAATCTGTTTGTCTTACAAAGCAATTGGCAAAATAACTGCAATTTTCCATGCAATCTTAAATTATGTGGAGAAATATTTGGTCAGTATACAGTGATTTAAAGGTGATATGCTACCTTACACATTACTAGTATACCTGTGACTTGTATTACAAAAGGTCAAAGTAGGTATCAAGTGCAAATAAAATAGTGTGGGTATGACTAATGAAACAACATACAAATGGACAGTACAAAAGCATGTCACCCTAAACATAATTCTATGGGGGAAGGAGAGACACATGACACTATCCAAACAATATAGCTATAATAGTTCCTGGTATGGCCTGTCTCGCTTCTGTACCTGAGAATATTACAAAATGTTTCTCAGATTAGTATACCATAGCTGCCTTTATATACAAACCTTGGCTTCATTTTCAGACCAGCTCTCCAATCTCCCATACTTTGTGGTTAAGAGCCTCTATATACAAACTTTGGCTTCATTTTCAGAACAGCTTTCTGTATCTCCCATACTTTGTGGTAAAGAGCCTCTATATACAAACCTTGGTTCAATTTTCAGACCAGCTCTCTGTATCTCCCATATTCTGTGGTTAAGAGCCTCTATATACAAACCTTGGCTTCATTTTCAGACCAGCTCTCCAATCTCCCATACTTTGTGGTTAAGTGCCTTTATATACAAACCTTGGCTTCATTTTTCAGACCAGCTCTCTGTATCTCCCATACTTTGGTGGTTAAGAGCCTCTATATACAAACCTTGGCTTCATTTTCAGACCAGCTCTCTGTATCTCCCATACTTTGTGGTTAAGAGCCTCTATATACAAACCTTGGCTTCATTTTCAGACCAGCTCTCTGTATCTCCCATACTTTGTGGTTAAGAGCCTCTATATACAAACCTTGGCTTCATTTTCAGACCAGCTCTCTGTATCTCCCATACTTTGTGGTTAAGAGCCTCTATATACAAACCTTGGCTTCATTTTCAGACCAGCTCTCTGTATCTCCCATACTTTGTGGTTAAGAGCCTCTATATACAAACCTTGGCTTCATTTTCAGACCAGCTCTCTGTATCTCCCATACTTTGTGGTTAAGAGCCTCTATATACAAACCTTGGCTTCATTTTCAGACCAGCTCTCTGTATCTCCCATACTTTGTGGTTAAGAGCCTCTATATACAAACCTTGGCTTCATTTTCAGACCAGCTCTCTGTATCTCCCATACTTTGTGGTTAAGAGCCTCTATATACAAACCTTGGCTTCATTTTCAGACCAGCTCTCTGTATCTCCCATACTTTGTGGTTAAGAGCCTCTATATACAAACCTTGGCTTCATTTTCAGACCAGCTCTCTGTATCTCCCATACTTTGTGGTTAAGAGCCTCTATATACAAACCTTGGCTTCATTTTCAGACCAGCTCTCTGTATCTCCCATACTTTGTGGTTAAGAGCCTCTATATACAAACCTTGGCTTCATTTTCAGACCAGCTCTCTGTATCTCCCATACTTTGTGGTTAAGAGCCTCTATATACAAACCTTGGCTTCATTTTCAGACCAGCTCTCTGTATCTCCCATACTTTGTGGTTAAGAGCCTCTATATACAAACCTTGGCTTCATTTTCAGACCAGCTCTCTGTATCTCCCATACTTTGTGGTTAAGAGCCTCTATATACAAACCTTGGCTTCATTTTCAGACCAGCTCTCTGTATCTCCCATACTTTGTGGTTAAGAGCCTCTATATACAAACCTTGGCTTCATTTTCAGACCAGCTCTCTGTATCTCCCATACTTTGTGGTTAAGAGCCTCTATATACAAACCTTGGCTTCATTTTCAGACCAGCTCTCTGTATCTCCCATACTTTGTGGTTAAGAGCCTCTATATACAAACCTTGGCTTCATTTTCAGACCAGCTCTCTGTATCTCCCATACTTTGTGGTTAAGAGCCTCTATATACAAACCTTGGCTTCATTTTCAGACCAGCTCTCTGTATCTCCCATACTTTGTGGTTAAGAGCCTCTATATACAAACCTTGGCTTCATTTTCAGACCAGCTCTCTGTATCTCCCATACTTTGTGGTTAAGAGCCTCTATATACAAACCTTGGCTTCATTTTCAGACCAGCTCTCTGTATCTCCCATACTTTGTGGTTAAGAGCCTCTATATACAAACCTTGGCTTCATTTTCAGACCAGCTCTCTGTATCTCCCATACTTTGTGGTTAAGAGCCTCTATATACAAACCTTGGCTTCATTTTCAGACCAGCTCTCTGTATCTCCCATACTTTGTGGTTAAGTGCCTCTATATACAAACCTTGGCTTCATTTTTCAGACCAGCTCTCTGTATCTCCCATACTTTGGTGGTTAAGAGCCTCTATATACAAACCTTGGCTTCATTTTCAGACCAGCTCTCTGTATCTCCCATACTTTGTGGTTAAGAGCTTCTATATACAAACCTTGGCTTCATTTTTCAGATCAGCTCTCCAATCTCCCATACTTTGTGGTTAAGAGCCTTTATATACAAACCTTGGCTTCATTTTCAGACCAGCTCTCTGTATCTCCCATACTTTGTGGTTAAGAGCCTCTATATACAAACCTTGGCTTCATTTTTTAGACCAGCTCTCTGTATCTCCCATATTCTGTGGTTAAGAGCCTCTATTTCAGCCTTGTGAGATGCCTTCGTGGATGTCATCTGTTTCTTTATGTTTGCTACCTTCTCACTAGCTGTCTGTCTGTAAATGTGTTAAGTAACAAACTTACTTCACAAGCAAATTCTAAATTTTAGATAAAAAGTGTTAAACATCTCAACAAATTTTCTATTAAAATAGACATATACTATTTGAGTGTTTATTTCACAATTTTACCCAGCAAAGTTTGAAGTTTATAAGGAAATTTGAATAGAATCACAATGGCCGAGAAAATGACGTCAAGCATAAAATGGTAATAAAACATTGGAAACCAATTCTAACAACTGATGAATTCCTGACAAAAGGGATTTTTGGCTACTGGGTTAATACAACGCCTTGTATTATCACATAGTGAAATACACATCTGCGCACTCGTGAATATATTCGTCCGTGCAATAAACTTGTGCTTTCTGATTCGTTAGAAAATACAAGTGTGTGGTCTTGCTTTTATCACATACCTTCTGTATTTGGTAGAGATCGATACAAAGATTTTATAAACTTTGATATTTTTTGCAAATACCGGGAACTTTTCAGTTCGCCATGACATGGGGATTCCCATAAAAAGTAGTTCCGGCTAGTAGGTAAATACAACATTCTGTATTGCACATGTGCAATATAGAACATTGTATTTCATGGTCTGAAAATTGCTTGTATTATTATAAGATTCAACAGGTATATGATAAATAACCTTATATGGCATGGCCTGGTAACTGGCTTTATCCCTATGGTACATGCTACCCTACAAATCATACCTTTGTTTAATTTTACTGGAGAATCAACTGCTGTTCATACGTCTTCTCTAAGATATGTAGTTAGCATGATGTACCAACTTAACTAAGCCTGCTCTTTAATAGGCAGTCTATTTGACTTACTTTGCCTGCTCTAAAGCATGTAGCCGGTGTGAGGTTCCCTCTATTTCTTCCTCCCTCTCCACCACAGCTGTCTCAAAGGTTTCCCTAGAAAATCAAGCTAATGAATAATTACATAAATTACCATTACAAGTGTACCAATAATATCTTAAGGTCAGATTTGTAACAGCAAAAATAATTATTTAGATATTGTGTTATGATGTTTATACATATCAGGGTAAAGAGTATCATCAAGTTAACATAAATCTTTATATATAAATCTGTTCCATGTAAATCACATTACTCCGTTTGTTGTTTACAGAACAATAGTTGTTCAAAATTTGAGAATTAGAAAACAAAACTAGAAAAAACTTTAAACCGAATTCTAGACCTAAACACTGCCAATCCCACATTTTACCAATGCTGCCAGTAATTAGAAATGCATTTTAGCAAATGAGAGATGAAAACCTTGACAAGGGAAATAACTCTAAAACCCTCTGAAGTGGAACACTTTTTGGTGATGATAACAGGTGAAGTGGTACCCTTTATCTGTATAGAACAATAATCTCATGACACTTGCCTGATGTTGTTCCATTCACTCTGCTGACGGTCATGTTCCTCGGTGAGAGCTTCAAGTTCCTGTAACTGTTCCTCTAGTTCACTACACACAGTCTGTAGCTTGGACACTTTCTATAACAGTAAAATAGAGAAATGTCAATAGTCAGCAGCTTAGCCATTTCTATAACAGTGTAATAGACAGGTTTAGACCATGACAGCACTGTCTGTAGCTTAATTACTTTCTCAAATGAGAGTGGCAGTGGTATAATAAGGACCTTTATACCATGCCCAAATCGTCAGTAACTTGGCTATGTACGTTAAGTAACTTGGCTATGTATGCTAAGTAACTTGGCTATGTACGCTAAGTAACTTGGCTATGTACGCTAAGTAACTTGGCTATGGACGTTAAGTAACTTGGCTATGTACGTTAAGTAATAGTTTGCTTTTAGTTTTGATGTCAACACAATCAGGAATATTAAATCTGGCAAGCATACCATCACTCTGAAAACATGTAACAAACAAAAGGATAAATAGGACCTGAAATGCTCACCTGAAACCAACAACAGGATTTGGTAGAAATGAAGGTCAAGGTCATTTATTTGAACAAACTTGAAAGACCTTCATCCCAACAAGCTACAAACCAAATACCATGACTCTAGGACACATTGTTTGGATTAAGATTTTTAACACGTGTAACCATTGTGACCTTGAATGGAGTCAAAATCATTTATTCAATCAATCAATATTTATGTATTGAAATATTAGACATTTAAGACATACCAATGCACTGCAATGGAGCCTTGGAATTATGTGTGTTGTGACATTGTTCATTTGAACAAAGATGATAGCCCCTTCAATTAGGCAAGCTATAGGCCATATATCATAACCCTAAGCCCTGTCGTTCTTAAGAAAAAGACATTTGAAGAAAAAGCTGATGGACAGACAAAGGAAAATATACAATGAATGTCATAATAAAACAACAGCTCAACTTGGTCCTTCAGACCATTTGAGATAAAGAAGCTGAAAAGATGGAATATTTTTTAATAAAATTGGTAAAAGATGTGTACTGCATTAAACATGGGAAATGGCCTCTCACCAAGAGTTGATTATATGCCTGTGGTTCTAGCTCACACTCATGTTCCTTCTGGCCTCTCACCCAGAGTTGATTATATACCTGTGTTTCTAGCTCACACTCATGTTCCTTCTGGCCTCTCACCCAGAGTTGATTATATACCTGTGTTTCTAGCTCACACTCATGTTCCTTCTGGCCTCTCACCCAGAGTTGATTATATACCTGTGTTTCTAGCTCACACTCATGTTCCTTCTGGCCTCTCACCCAGAGTTGATTATATACCTGTGTTTCTAGCTCACACTCATGTTCCTTCTGGCCTCTCACCCAGAGTTGATTATATACCTGTGTTTCTAGCTCACACTCATGTTCCTTCTGGCCTCTCACCCAGAGTTGATTATATACCTGTGTTTCTAGCTCACACTCATGTTCCTTCTGGCCTCTCACCCAGAGTTGATTATATACCTGTGTTTCTAGCTCACACTCATGTTCCTTCTGGCCTCTCACCCAGAGTTGATTATATACCTGTGTTTCTAGCTCACACTCATGTTCCTTCTGGCCTCTCACCCAGAGTTGATTATATACCTGTGTTTCTAGCTCACACTCATGTTCCTTCTGGCCTCTCACCCAGAGTTGATTATATACCTGTGTTTCTAGCTCACACTCATGTTCCTTCTGGCCTCTCACCCAGAGTTGATTATATACCTGTGTTTCTAGCTCACACTCATGTTCCTTCTGGCCTCTCACCCAGAGTTGATTATATACCTGTGTTTCTAGCTCACACTCATGTTCCTTCTGGCCTCTCACCCAGAGTTGATTATATACCTGTGTTTCTAGCTCACACTCATGTTCCTTCTGGCCTCTCACCCAGAGTTGATTATATACCTGTGTTTCTAGCTCACACTCATGTTCCTTCTGGCCTCTCACCCAGAGTTGATTATATACCTGTGTTTCTAGCTCACACTCATGTTCCTTCTGGCCTCTCACCCAGAGTTGATTATATACCTGTGTTTCTAGCTCACACTCATGTTCCTTCTGGCCTCTCACCCAGAGTTGATTATATACCTGTGTTTCTAGCTCACACTCATGTTCCTTCTGGCCTCTCACCCAGAGTTGATTATATACCTGTGTTTCTAGCTCACACTCATGTTCCTTCTGGCCTCTCACCAAGAGTTGATTATATGCCTGTGTATCTAGCTTACACTTATGTTCCTTCTGGTCTCTCACTCAGAGTTGATTATATACCTGTGTTTCTAGCTCACACTTATGTTCCTTCTGGCCTCACACTCAGAGTTGATTATATACCTGTGTTTCTAGCTCAAACTCATGTTCCTTCTGGCCTCTCACTCGGAGTTGATTATATACCTGTGTTTCTAGTTCACACTCATGTTCCTTCTGGCCTCTCTCCCAGAGTTGATTATATACCTGTGTTTCTAACTCACACTCATGTTCCTTCTGTCCTCTCACCCAGGGTTGATTATATACCTGTGTTTCTAGCTGACACTCATGTTCCTTCTGGCCTCTCACTCGGAGTTGATTATATACCTGTGTTTCTAGCCCACACTCATGTTCCTTCTGGCCTCTCATTCAGAGTTGATTATATACCTGTGTTTCTAACTCACACTCATGTTCCTTCTGGCCTCTCTCCCAGAGTTGATTATATACCTGTGTTTCCAGCTCACACTCATGTTCCTTCTGGCCTGTCACTCAGAGTTGATTATATACCTGTGTTTCTAACTCACACTCATGCTCCTTCTGGCCTCTCACTCAGAGTTGATTTTATACCTGTGTTTCTAGCTCACTCTCATGTTCCTTCTGGCCTCTCACCCAGAGTGGATTATATACCTGTGTTTCTAGCTCACCCTCATGTTCCTTCTGGCCTCTCACCAAGGGTTGATTATATGCCTGTGTATCTAGCTTACACTTATGTTCCTTCTGGTCTCTCACTCAGAGTTGATTATATACCTGCGTTTCTAGCTCACACTCATGTTCCTTCGGGCCTCTCACTCAGAGTTGATTATATAACTGTGTTTCTAGCTCACACTCATGCTCCTTCTGGCCTCTCACTCAGAGTTGATTATACACCTGTGTTTCTAGCTCACACTCATGTCCCTTCTGGCCTCTCACTCAGAGTTGATTAAATACCTGTGTTTCTAGCTCACACTCATGTCCCTTCTGGCCTCTCCCCCAGAGTTGATTATATACCTGTGTTTCCAGCTCACACTCATGTTCCTTCTGGCCTGTCACTCAGAGTTGATTATATACCTGTGTTTCTAGCCCACACTCATGTTCCTTCTGACCTCTCACTCAGAGTTGATTATATACCTGCGTTTCTAACTCACACTCATTTTCCTTCTGGCCTCTCACCCAGAGTTGATTATATACCTGCGTTTCTAGCTCACACTCATGTTCCTTCGGGCCTCTCACTCAGAGTTGATTATATACCTGCGTTTCTAGCTCACACTCATGTTCCTTCTGAACCATCTGGTCCTGTATCATGTGCTTCTCCATATTGATGGAACTCTTCTCTTTCTGGAGGCTGGATATCCTATCTTCTGGCCTCTCACCCAGAGTTGATTGTATACCTGTGTTTCTAGCTCACACTCACGTTCCTTCTGGCCTCTCACTCAGAGTTGTTTATATACCTGTGTTTCTAGCTCACACGCATGTTCCTTCTGGCCTCTCACCCAGAGATGATTATATACCTGTGTTTCTAGCTCAAACTCATGTTCCTTCTGGCCTCTCACTCCGAGTTGATTATATACCTGTGTTTCTAGCTGACACTCATGTTCCTTCTGGCCTCTCACCCAGAGATGATTATATACCTGTGTTTCTAGCTCACACTCATGTTCCTTCTGAACCAGCTGGTCCTGTATCATGTGCTTCTCCATATTGATGGAACTCTTCTCTTTCTGGAGGCTGGATATCCTATCTTCCATTTCCTGTGAAAATATGTCACATTTTATTGCTGATTCTGGGTTGGTGACCAAACAATATCCTATTACTGTTGATACTGATCACAATTACATGGAAATGTGCTATATTGTACTCCTATTTAAGTCTCTATATACAATAATTAACTGTATAGAATAGGTATTCATATAATATCAGAGAAATTGAAGACATCTACATCTAGATGTCTCCTACATACCTTATACTGTCTGGTGGATTTCTCAGCTTGAGACTTTAGGAGCTTCAGTTCTTGTTCAAGGTCAATAATATTCTACAAAAGTCAAAAGCAACAAAAGTTTAGAAAATGAGAAGATCAAGCCATCAGCAATAGTTAATATCTACAAAACATAGACAACAAAACCAAAAATTGTGACAATCCTTACCTCTGACCTATGGAGCTTAAGTTGAAGGTCACGGATCTCTGATTCATACCGTTCCTTGTTATTGCGTTCCTGTCTCTCACTGGCAGCTAGCAGTGAGCGGGCTTCACTGAGGGCTAGATTGGCATCATGTAGTTCTCGCCTCAACTCCACAATAACCTGGTCATGTTTCTCCTTCTCCTGAAAAAAACGAATATACAATGGTATGTCTACGTCAACATCTTTACAATATCAATGTCATTTTACAATGGGATGTCTACGGCAACATCTTTACAATATCACTGTCATTTTCCAATGGGATGTCTACGTCAACATCTTTACGATATCACTGTCATTTTACAATGGGATGGCTACGTCAACATCTTTACAATATCACTGTGATTTTACAATGGGATGTCTACGTCAACTTCTTTACAATATCACTGTCATTTTACAATGGTATGTCTACGTCAACATCTTTACAATATTACTGTCATTGTACAATGGATGTCTACATCAACATCTTTACAATATTACTGTCATTTGACAATGGATGTCTACATCAACATCTTTACGATATTACTGTCATTTTACAATGGATGTCTACATCAACATCTTTACAATATTACTGTCATTGTACAATGGATGTCTACATCAACATCTTTACAATATTACTGTCATTTGACAATGGATGTCTACATCAACATCTTTACGATATTACTGTCATTTTACAATGGATGTCTACATCAACATCTTTACGATATTACTGTCATTTTACAATGGATGTCTACATCAACATCTTTACAATATTACTGTCATTGTACAATGGATGTCTACATCAACATCTTTACAATATTACTGTCATTGTACAATGGATGTCTACATCAACATCTTTACAATATTACTGTCATTGTACAATGGATGTCTACATCAACATCTTTACAATATTACTGTCATTTGACAATGGATGTCTACATCAACATCTTTACAATATTACTGTCATTTTACAATGGATGTCTACATCAACATCTTTACAATATCACTGTCGTTATGCAATCAATACAAACAGAACTCTGCCAATTCGTTATATAGCTTTGTGTGGTCATTATGTTGTCATCAGAATATCTTTAATATATCTTGGAACTTTGCAAAACATTCATTTTTAGTACCCTTTATCCAACTTGTAACACCTGTGTATATCCAACTTTAAACACTTGAATTTGTAATTAAGATGTTACTTTATTTTTATAGTGTACTTCACATTCCAAGAAGAAATATTCAGTACGCAACTTCCCTATTTAACATGGATTTAAGTTATAAACTCTTAAAGAACCTATTTTGGTCTAAAATTTCCATAAGATATTCAAATATAAGCGTGAAAATAGCAAAGGTAGATCCTTAATCGTAACTAAAGTACACACAGAGGCATTAAAGAATAGAAACACAAGTATTCCTCAAAAGTGAGTGTAGATTTTATCTGTAAGATTGTTCTGCTCACTACTGATATTAACCACGCCAGACAAACCTTACCTTACTGAATTTCTCCTCCATGACGTGTACCTCACGTTTGTTGCCAGTCGTTTCACGCTGTTTGGACTCCCACTCTACCTGAAGCTCCCTCATCTTCACCTCCAGGGATTTCTTCTCTAGCCTCAATCGATCCACCTCCTCCATGAGACTCTGTATACGGTTTTCACGTTCTTTCGATGCTTTTAGGTCTCCTTCTAGACTCTTCACCTTAATCTCTAGCTGTTCCACCTTCTCCTGTTGATCTTTGACCTTACTTTCCAGGTAATTGTTAGTCTGGCGTATATCTTCAGCATCTGCAATCTTGTTCCAGCGTTTCGTTGCTAAAAGTTTCTGTTCCTCCAACTCTTTTTCTACACTCTGAAGCTGTAAGGTTTAGTTAATATATCTAGTTATTTTTATACTGTCATAAATCTATAACAATATGAGTGATCTGTCCCTTAACTGATAAATCAAGTAAAAGAACCAGTTATATAACAGAAAAAAAGAAAGATTCAAGTATGGACATCAGAAAAAACTTTCCTTAATTAATATTTTCTGATCGGATTATTGCCTTAAGAAACACCTACCTTGACAGTAAGAGCATCTCTCTCCTTTTGTACTGTGGTGAGCTCATTCAATTTACTGGTCTCCTTTTGTAGGTGTTCATTTCTCCTTTCAAGTCCCTCTTTCTCACTCCTGAGCACTATTACCTCCCTTGCTTGGGATTCTGCCTCCTTTAAACGTTTGTTAAGTTTCTCCACCCTCTCCTCTAGCTTACTGACTGAGCGTTCCAGATTGTCTTTGTCGTCAGTCAGGCGTCTAACTTTCTGAGAGAGGTCAAACTTTTCCTCTTTACTCTTGCTAAGCTGGTTTTTAGTCTCTATAAGCTCTGACGATTTGCGGTCACATTCGTCTTTTAAGCTGGACGCCTCTGATTTCCCTCCCTCTAACCGACATACCTGGAGCTTGAGAGAGTCCATTTCAGATTTTATGTCATCCTGCTTCTTCCCTAGGCTTGCCTTCTCTTCCTCCAGTCCTTTGATCTTTTCATTAGCAACTTTGAGTCTGATTTAAAGTAATAAATTACAAGTCATTTAATCTTTTCCTTCAACTTTCAGTCCTAGAGGAAATGCTTAAATACTAGATTACAAAATATTGCAAATTATTTCATCTTTCTATTTATACAAAACAATTAATTGCAACAGTCAGTCTTTAATGGAATTTATCTTTCAATCAATGTAAACAATACAAAGGGCAATAACTTTTACAAAAATTGTCGAAACGAAATTCATTTAAGGGAAACACAACTTCATATCATGATTATAATGTATACCAAGTTTAAAAGAAATCTGTCAAAAAATGTAGGAGGAGATTGCTGGACAAACAAAAGATTACGCCGGACGGACGGACGACCAACCCCATACCATAATACTTTCGTCAAATTTGCAGGCGTATAAAAAGTGTGATGATTACCTGAAGTCAGCATGTTCCTTAGCACGCAGTCTAACTTCCACCTCCCTGTCGCGGGAGTCGGTGAGCTGCCTCTCTAGTCTCTCCAGACGTGACGTCATACGTGAAATGGTCTGCGTAACATGAGTATGAACCTGGTAATCGCCAGATACAACAAAGGGTTAATCTAGCATGCACTACAAGCAGATACAATGATAGCTACACAGTAGAGTGCGGACAAAGTACGACATAGAACAAAGGACCAATAGCTACACAGGAAAGAGTGCGGACACACAGTATGACAGAGAACAAAGGGCCGATAGCTACACAGGAGAGAGTGTGGACACACAGTACGACAGAGAACAAAGGACCGATAGCTACACAGGAGAGAGTGCGGACACACAGTACAACAGAGAACAAAGGGCCGATAGCTACACAGGAGAGAGTAGGGACACACAGTACCACAGAGAACAAAGGGCCGATAGCTACACAGGAGAGAGTGTGGACACACAGTACGTCAGAGAACAAAGGGCCGATAGCTACACAGGAGAGAGTGTGAACACACAGTATGACAGAGAACAAAGGACCGATAGCTACACAGGAGAGAGTGCAGACACAGTACGACAGAGAACAAAGGGCCGATAGCTACACAGGAGAGAGTACGGACACACAGTACCACAGAGAACAAAGGGCCGATAGCTACACAGGAGAGAGTAGGGACACACAGTACCAAAGAGAACAAAGGGCCGATAGCTACACAGGAGAGAGTGTGAACACACAGCACGACAGAGAACAAATGACAGATAGCTACACAGGAGAGAGTGCAGACACAGTACGACAGAGAACAAAGGGCCGATAGCTACACAGGAATGAGTACGGACACACAGTACCACAGAGAACAAAGGGCCAATAAGTACACAGGAGAGAGTGTGAACACACAGTACGACAGAGAACAAAGGGCCGATAGCTACACAGGAGAGAGTGTGAACACACAGTACGACAGAAAACAAAGGACCGATAGCTACACAGGAGAGAGTGCAGACACAGTACGACAGAGAACAAAGGGCCGATAGCTACACAGGAGAGAGTGCTGACCCACAGTACGACAGAACAAAGGACCGATAGCTACCCAGGAGAGAGTGTGGACACACAGTACGACAGAGAACAAAGGGCAGATAGCTACACAGGAGAGAGTGTGGACACACGGTACGACAGAGAACAAAGGACCAATAGCTACACAGGAGAGAGTGTGGACACACAGTACGACAGAGAACAAAGGACCGATAGCTACCCAGGAGAGAGTGTGGACACACAGTACCACAGAGAACAAAGGGCAGATAGCTACACAGGAGAGAGTTTGGACACACAGCACGACAGAGAACAAAGGACCGATAGCTACACAGGAGAGAGTGTGGACACAGTACCACAGAGAACAAAGGACCGTAGCTACACAGGAGAGAGAAGGGACACACAGTACCACAGAGAACAAAGGGCCGATAGCTACACAGGAGAGAGTGCAGACACACAGTACGACATAGAACAAAGGGCAGATAGCTACACAGGAGAGAGTAGGGACACACAGTACGACAGAGAACAAAGGACCGTAGCTACACAGGAGAGAGTGAGGACACACAGTACCATAGAGAACAAAGAACCAATAGCTACACAGGAGAGAGTGTGGACACAGTACGACAGAGAACAAAGGACCGATAGCTACACAGGAGAGAGTGTGGACACACAGTATGACAGAGAACAAAGGACCGATAGCTACACAGGAGAGAGTGTGGACACACAGTACCACAGAGAACAAAGGGCAGATAGCTACACAGGAGAGAGTGTGGACACACAGTATGACAGAGAACAAAGGACCGATAGCTACACAGGAGAGAGTACGAACACACAGTACGACAGAGAACAAAGGGCCGATAGCTACACAGGAGGGAGTAGGGACACACAGAACGACAGAGAACAAAGGGCTGATAGCTACACAGGAGAGATTTTGGACACACAGTACGACATAGAACAAAGGGCAGACAGCTACACAGGAGAGAGAGCGGACACACAGTACGATAGAGAACAAAGGGCAGACAGCTACACAGGAGAGATTTTGGACACACAGTACGACAGATAACAAAGGGCAGATAGCTACACAGGAGAGAGTGCGGACACACAGTACGTCAGAGAACAAAGTAAATCTTAAGAATTGAACATGTATGTGAATTTACATGACAATTATATAAGAAATAATGCCTGCAGATGGATGATATAGATTTATAGTAATAGTGACCCATGTTTTTAACATGTTTTTAACTGAAGAAGGTTGAAACCACAACTCAACAACATAACGGTGGCTGGATAGTGGGACAACAGAATTAGTGGTGGCTGAATAGTGGGACAACAGGATTAGTGGTGGCTGAATAGTGGGACAACAGGGTTAGTGGTGGCTGGATAATGGGACAACAGTATTAGTGGTGGCTGGATAATGGGACAACAGGATCAGTGGTGGCTGGATAGTGGGACAACAGGATCAGTGGTGGCTGGATAGTGGTATAACAGTATTAGTGGTGGCTGGATAATGGGACAACAGGATTAGTGGTGGCTGAATAGTGGGACAACAGGATCAGTGGTGGCTGAATAGTGGGACAACAGGATAAGTGGTGGCTGGATAGGGGAACAACAGGATTAGCGGTGGCTGGATACGGGAACAACAGGATAAGTGGTGGCTGAATAGTGGGACAACAGGATAAGGGGTGGCTTGACAGTGGGACAACAGGATAAGGGGTGGCTGGACAATGGGACAACTTGATTAGTGGTGGCTGGATAGTGGGACAACAGGGTTAGTGGTGGCTGGATAGTGGGACAACAGGATAAGTGGTGGCTGGACAATGGGACAACTTGATTAGTGGTGGCTGAAAAGTGGGACAACAGGGTAAGCGGTGGCTGGATAGGGGAACAACAGGATAAGTGGTGGCTGGACAGTGGGACAACAGGGTTAGCGGTGGCTGAATAGTGGGACAACAGGATAAGGGGTGGCTTGACAGTGGGACAACAGGATAAGGGGTGGCTGGACAATGGGACAACTTGATTAGTGGGGGCTGAAAAGGGGACAACAGGGGTAGCCGTGGCTGGATAGGGGAACAACACGATAAGTGGTGGCTGGACAGTGGGACAACTTGATTAGTGGTGGTAGAATAGCGGGACAACAGGGTTAGTGGTGGCTGGATAGGGGGACAACAGGGTTAGTGGTGGCTGGATAGGGGAACAACAGGATAAGTGGTGGCTGGACAATGGGACAACTTGATTAGTGGTGGCTGAAAAGTGGACAACAGGGTTAGCCGTGGCTGGATAGGGGAACAACACGATAAGTGGTGGCTGGACAGTGGGACAACTTGATTAGTGGTGGCAGAATAGCGGGACAACAGGGTTAGTGGTGGCTGGATAGGGGAACAACAGGATAAGTGGTGGCTGGATAGTGGTACAACCAGATAAGTGGTGGCTAGATAGTGGTACAACCAGATAAGTGGTGGCTGGACAGTGGGACAACTTGATAAGTGGTGGCTGGATAGTGGGACAACAGGATTAGTGGTGGCTAGATTAACAGACTGAATTATAATCATGCAAAGAGACACAGCCTCAAGCAGAAACATAACAATGGATTAGAAAGATACAATCAACATCAGTGTTATGTCTTGAAATTCACACAATTGATCCCTCATTAAATGCTTGTCAATTACATTCAAACAAGTAAGAAGTATTTTTCCATCAGATTCATATTTTTAGTTAGATGTCATGATCAAAGGGCTTGTTGAAACTAATTTGACAAGCAACTGATGATCAGACAATTCATACAGATATATGATTAAAACAATGAAAAAGATTTTTTATCAAAATTTCACCATCACTTGATATTTACTTATTGCATTGTTTTATTCTCTTGTGATGCTTTCAATAGAAACACTGGTCGTTGGGAGTCAAGCGTTGATATTACTTTTTGGGTCTCACCTGTGGACACACCATAAAAGTGGACACACCCCATAACTTGGACACACCCAATAAAAGTGGACACACCCAATAAAAGTGGACACACCCCAATAAAAGTGGACACACCCAATAAAAGTGGACACACCCCAATAAAAGTGGACACACCCAATAAAAGTGGACACACCCCAATATGCCCCTCAAATTGTGTGCATATCCCTGAAATACCCTTTTTTTGTTTAAATGTTTCTAATTGACAAATAGACAGTATCTAAAACAAGTTACCATTATACATGTCATGAAATCAATGAAATAAGTTTCCTAAAATTTTACAATCAAAAGCATGTTAAATCACACCTTTTAACAAGAGGCCCAATGGGCCTGCATCGCTCACCTGGTATTAATCCCACACTTGTAATCTTAAAAGTGGACTAAAATACAGCTACAGGCAGAATATCAGTGTTTGATTCATAAGAACTTATTGAAAGATTTAAACATATGACACCTGTGACCTTGAATGTCGAACAAGGACATTATAATATTAGGTTGAACAGAGTTTATAGTCTTCCAACCCCGCATGCATCTGGCAAAATATCATTACCCTGGACCCTTTGGTTATACACAACAAATCATTTAAAGATTTGAAAATATATTGACCACTGTGACCTTGAATATGGGCGACGGGTCATTCACTCGGTAGTCCTTCATCCCAGCATGTTAATGGCCAAATATCATCACCTTTGGCCTTTCGTTTATTAAGAAGTCATTCAATGGTTTTAAACATATTTAACCCCTGTGACCTTGAATATATATGTCAAGGTCGTTCATTTGTTTTTGGTAGTCCTTCAACCCAGCATGTTACTGGCATAATCCTAGGCCTCTTGGTTATTCAGAAGAAGTTGTTTAAAAGGTTTAGAAAATATTTGACCCCTGTGACCTTTAAAAAAGAGGAAGGTCATTCATTTGAACAAACTTTATAGCCCTTCATCCCAGCATTATACTAGCCAAATATCATCACCCTAGGCCTATTGGTTATTCAGAAGTTGTTTAAATGTTTTAAACATATTTGCCCTCTGTGAACTTGAATATAAGTCAATGTCATTTCGGCCAGGTGAGCTAAAAACCTCTTTTAACCAGAAAATCAAAGAAAACACTGCCAGTTTTTGCTTTTATCAAGAATTTTAACTTGTTCCATGAGATGATATTATATGGTACAATGGAATGAAAATGTATGTGATGGTAATTACATTGGATATCAGCCTGAGTATAAGATAAAAGTGGTTGAAATACATTCATCATTTACCAGATCTGACAGTTTCACAGCACTGTCTTTACTTCACAGATTGTATAATGAACCATTCCATGGTGTAATCTTCAGTCAAAATTCTGTTTCCATGATATAATTAGATTTTAACACATCTAAAATATCTTCTTCACAAACAACAAATGAGAACAAATTGAAAGGATGAGAGGAAAGGAATTGAAAAACAAGAAAGCAAAGGGAAAACAATGAAGCACCAAAGCCTTTTCCAACCCATGCACTACATGCAGTTTTATACCTACCCTCTCAAGCTCCGCAACTTTGAAGGTTTTGTTATCTGCCTCCTCCTGGAACTTAATTACGTCAGCAAGCAAATGTCTCCTCTCCGTGCGCAAAAGCTCAACATCGGCTTCCAGGTCCTTCAACCCCAAACATCAGTCAGTTTCATCAACATATTTTTATCTACATTATCATCCTCAGATTTATATTCTACTTAATCATCCTCACATTTATCTACTTAATCATCCTCACATTTATCTAGTCTAACACTGGTTACTTTATACATTTATAGCCCTTGTTGTAGGAAAACATGATTCTTTGTTTCTCCGTGATTAATCATGATACGCAGGGCAAAGCCTGAGTGACACAGAATTAATCAAGGAGAAACAAAGAAACATACAAACTGGTTATAAATATCCTATCACTCCGAAATAAAACAATACTACAATAGTTAAGACGATCAGATTGATGCCCCATCTTTGTCGTCTATTCTAGTCACTTAGAACTTGGTTGTGGTGGCTATTGCCGATTTTCCTAAAGAGGCGCTTAATAGGGAAATATGAGCGAGGAAAGGTGAGTTTGTGAGGGTGACACGATGTTTCACTTCCCCTTTATGTGATTAATGTTATACACATGTTATATAGATGAGGTATACTAATATCTTTTTGCTGCACTTGAACACATTTAAATAAGTCAATCATGTTTTTATCTCGACTCCATTGTAGCAGTTTTAACCGAGTGCCACTAAACATTGTTGTTCTACTAGTTGAACGTAACAACGGTGGTCCAAATGGCAATGGTTTGGCCACTTTTGCTGTATTTGTAAGGCTGCTACTACTGTGAATAATAAGCATGTCAAACATAGTATTCTGTTGAAGTATACTTTTGTGAAAGCCCCATAATGGAAATTGAAAACACAATTGTGGAAACGGAACTGTCGGACTACTTTAAAAATACTGATATACTAGGGGTGTGGGGGATCATATCCGGCCTCATCGGGTATTTATGATTAGTTGTTATATTCATAACCCGGAATAAATGAAATACGCAAATTTGAAATTTCAAGTTCATTCGACAACTGGTTTAGAAGATATGACATTACAAAGTGAGACATAAACGCGCATTTTCATGATAAAATGCGACAATATCGTCTGTTGTTTTTATTTGGTTGAAAATTGGCCCTTTTGAGGGAAATCAACAAAACACTTTTCAATTTTCGAAAGCGTTCACATGCAACAAACAAATAAATATTTCATGTACTTAAACATTATCATACCAGTGTTTATTCGTAGAAAGAAATTTTGTTTGCCACATACAGAGGCTTTCATTCCTGCATGTTAACTAGCCAAAACACCAAATTTTGGCCATTTCTGCATAGCAACGCAGTTCGTTGCTATGATAGGGCATCTACATATGCGCATTAGAAAAAACCTGCACCAAGAAAGATAGCCCCAATTAACCAATATGATGTTTATAACAGAAATGGGCAAATAAATTCAAGATGAAATTTTCACTTTTTATGAGGCCAAAAATGACCCATAACGCCACAAGTCTTTTATCATCAATATATGCAATATATCTTAGTTCATTGGTATGAATTAATTATGTATAATACATTATGCTGTTATCTATATATATGTCTTGCTATGAACTGTTGATAAGTAGTCTCCACTGCTGCATGAGACATGAGTTACCTACCTTGACTCTCTTCTCTACCAGGGAGGTGTGTTTAGTCTTTTCGTCCTCATCCTGGCTCACTTGTTTCACATTCTCACTAAGATCCTGGCAAAGTGAAAAGGAATTGGCTTCAAAAATCTGGCTACATAATTGAACATTGTTGCAAAAGTCCTGGAAAAAAAGATAATGCACAACTTTTGAAGAGGAAAAAACCCACTGTATGGCCAATTAAAATATGATTTCATGTTGAATCATACCAGTGATTTGTGTGCCTACCTGAAGTATCTGCTTTCATACAAGTGAGCTCAGTGCTGCTTTCATGCCAGTGAGCTCAGTGCTGCTTTCATGCCAGTGAGCTCAGTGCTGCTTTCATGCCAGTGAGCTCATTGCTGCTTTCTTGCTAGTGAGCTCAGTGCTGCTTTCATGCCAGTGATCTCAGTGCCTACCTGTAGTCTATGCTACCATACCAGTGAGCTCAGTGCCTACCTGTAGTCTGTGCTACCATACCAATGGGCTCAGTGCCTACCTGTAGTCTGTGCTACCATACCAGTGAGCTCAGTGCCTACCTGTAGTCTGTGCTACCATACCAATGGGCTCAGTGCCTACCTGTAGTCTGTGCTACCATACCAATGGGCTCAGTGCCTACCTGTAGTCTCTGCTTTAGCTGTTTGGCTTCCTCCTGATAGAACCGCACTTGATGAGCAAGACTGTGTTTGGATTTCTCCGAGGTCTTCAGCTCCTGTAGCAGTGTGTCCATCTCTCGCTGTAGTTGCTAATAAAAGACAAAGATAAACAAGTTTTCAGCTAAAATATTGTATCTGCCAACATGAATGAAAGCAAAACTCCTTCACTCGTATACTATAAGAGCAGTAAGGCATGTATGAGAGAATTGTTCAATGCAACCAAGATGAGGCATGGCAATAAGATTCCTTTACCTTAAAATTTTGCAACAGTTATGCACTTCTTTATAAGACATTAACATGGCAGTCTGGTGTTTTGAAATCTTGAAACAATGTGCAAATTCTAAATGTACACATGAAAACCTATTGTTATTTTCTACACCTACATCTATGGTCTCCTGGAAGCCATCTTCCTTTTCCCTCCATTCCTCTGCCTGATTGTCCAGCATTGTCACATGCTGTTCCAGCTCCTGTGTTACACAAACAGATTGTTAATTACTTATATTTAATCCATCACCTACAACCTTTCACATTTAATATTAAACTTATCTAAAGTAAACAAGTATTTATTTTGTTAAAATTTATTATACAAAAGTACTTTTTACAATATGAATAAATTAGGGGCTGTTCCATAATTAATCATATGGGGAGGTGAGAGGCACCTGTATACATGTGTTATAGTGTGTTTTAAAACCAGATCTGCCTACTATTCCTGTGTTAGATCATTTTTAATATTTGATGGGTGGTAAGTAAGGTCTCTGAAAAAGTGTCTCTCTGTAGTTATTTCTGAAACAACCCTAAATCATTTCCACCAAAAACCCAATCTACATCAAAGACAACACAAATCCATCCATGAGTCAGAAATAGGAACATGGTCCTGAGTGAACTTATCTATATATCAAAATTACATACAAATTTAGGAAGTGATATTGAGGGTTTTAGTATAACCGGTACATTGAAAAGATTTACAACCTACCTCAATTCGTCTTTTCCTATTTTCAGAATCCTTACTTTCCTGCATTGGACAAGACTTCAGCCACACTCTCAGCTCCTGTAGATAAGTGATTAGGTAAAATTTAAACGTTAAAGGACATATAAGACTTCCTTTAAATGCCATTATTGATTATTCACCAACATCACAGCTACTTTCTTTGTCCATCTCGGTCATCAAAAACTCTTCAGAGACAATTTTTTGTTTTACACCACACCTACTTCAAATGAAAATGTGCAGTCTTGTCTAATCACTTTATACACCAAAGGTTTTCTTTATTAATGTTTCAATATTCATGGATTTACAAATCATAGAAAGATATGGACTGCAAAAGAGATACAACTTAGACAAACATTAAAAAATAGAAGCTCCTCAGCAATTACACACACCAGTGTGCTTTTTAATACAAAACATTTGGAGGAGAAAGAGAATGTTTTGCTTCCTTAATAATTTCATACAATAAAGCTAGGGTTACACTAGTTTCCTTGAAAATCTGAACAACCGTGAAAAATGTCAAATCTGCCTCGTAATAAATTACAGGTGCATGTCTACATGCCATCTGATGATAATTAGGCTTGAACAGTTTACCATTTTGTCTATGAGGCCGCCCCCATCTACACGTCGGAGTAGTTCCTGTTCCCGCTCCATGAAATCCTTTTCCTGTAGCTGGTAGACCTCCAACAGTTCTTCCATCTCCTACAACACACGATTACAAGGTCTGCTAGTGTGCACATCTAACTAGCACCAGGCACATGGTTCTTATAGTTTGTAAAGGAAGAAAGCACACATACAAATACAGAAACTTAGGCCATAAAAACTTAATTGTTGGATTCTAAGGCCTGCAAGCGTCAAATTTTTACCCATCGCATCGCTGTTTTTATCGACAAATTGAAAAAGAAAAATAGGAAGATGCGGTAAAAAACTGTGGGGAAGAAAATCTGGATTTAATCACCTACGTCAGATTCGACTAATGGTCTCTAAAATGGCATCTCGTTAGCTCTTTAATGAAACGGCACAATTGACATCAAGCGTCTTGCCATGGCCTTGCAGCTAATTTCAGTACTGATATCTTGTTGTTTAACAGTGCTTTTACCGTGGAATGTCATCGGCAGGTACAGTCATGGCTGCATCTTTGCTGATCTATACAAGAATCCCTCCGGGGGGAGGGGGGAGACCCTCAGATTGGACTTTTACGGCCAAATATGTTGATCGTGCATGCATCGTTAGAATGGGACGAAGTAAAATCGAAAGTTTCGACCGAATTATTGCCACAGCAGTGGTGGTTGAATCTGTTTCATTATTTGGCAGATATATCAAATCAGAAATAACAGACAACACATGTACACCTGTTGTAGTACAATAGTCAGGACATGATATGTATATTCAAAAGAGAACTACATGTAGAATGCTCTACCACAATATGCCCAATATCTCCAGTACCAGTATATATTGCAGGCTGGACCTTCCCATTTTGATGTATCACACACTTACCTGGACCTTCCCATTTTGATGTATCACTTACCTGGAGCTTTATGTTAAGAGTCATCACTTCCATGTTTTTTCCTTCTATCTTATGTCTCCATGCCTCATTTCTTTTCTCCATACTTGAAACATCTCGCTTCATACCATCAAGGGACTTTCGTTGTTCCTACAAAACAATAACATACACATTGACTAGCAGTACATAGTGCTTCATTTCTGTTAATAGTGTGTATCAAAGGAAAATGTGATATAAGTGATATAAACAGGCATATCAAAGGAAAATGTGATATAAGTGATATAAACAGGCATATCAGAGGAAAATGTGATGCAAGTGATATAAACAGGCATATCAAAGGAAAATGTGATGTAAGTGATATAAACAGGCATATCAAAGGAAAATGTGATATAAGTGATATAAACAGGCATATCAGAGGAAAATGTGATGTAAGTGACATAAACAGGCATATCAGAGGGAAATGTGACATCAAGTGAAATGTGATATTAGCTAGAGCATCAGAAGAAAATGTCATATTAAGTGAAATGAGATATTCATACAATATCGCTTTTTAATGTTTATTTTTGGGATGGTCCTTTGCACCATCTAGCTGTATCTATAAATTTGGCACTTGTTTTTTGACATGACTTCAACTTTTTCTAGCTGTGATTTAAACATTAGTTAATGCCTTACCTTATCTAGCTTCCGTTGTAGTTTGGATATTTGGTCTTGTTGACTTTCAATCTGTTCCCTGCATAGTGCTAGTTGTTTTTCTCGGCTCTTGAGTTTTGTCCGCAGGTTACACTTATCCTGCTCCAGTTCAACAACCATGTCCTGTATCTCTTCCATCTCCGACCTAAATACAAGCAACGACATAAAACGATACAAAGTTCAACAACCATGTCCTGTGTCTCTTCCATCTCCGACCTAAATACAAGCAACGACATAAAACAATACAAAGTTCAACAACCATGTCCTGTATCTCTTCCATCTCCGACCTAAATACAAGCAACGACATAAAACAATACGCTGAATCCTCAACACCAGTATCAAGATTATTCAATTTATACACCATAATCAATACAGTTCACAGCATGTAGATTCCCTCCTTCTGTGTAAAGTAACCCTATCTTGTGGACTTTGTATATCACTCTGTAACAGTAAGTGGATGTCTTCTTTGATTCAAAGGTTATATCCCTTTTGTGTATGTTGTCCCAGTTGTAAGTTTGTTGCCTCTCCTTGCTTGAGTAGTTTTTCCATATCATGAATGTAAAAGCCTTAAAACTCAACTTGCAGATTTTATCTCTAAGCACATACTTCTGTATATCAAATACAGATTAAATTGTATAGTGTGTATCCTTGGAAAAAGTTGTCTCCTTTAGTGAATGTTTTCTACCTTGGTTAGATTGTCTCCCCTCAGAATGAAAACATAGCCGACACACTAAATTTGTAGAATTCCATTTGTTATAACATGTAAATGTACTAGTGAGTTTCAGCTACAGTGGTGTACTTCCTCTGTTATAGAGTATGTATCCTTTCTGTACGTTATCTCACCTGGGCCGTTTTTGTTTATCGCGATGCAAACGGTTGAACCTGTTGGACCAGAGTTGTTCTTTTATGAAACAAGATTGGACCCAGCAATCTGAGGCTGCTTTCAGGCGAGCCTTGACCAAGCCTTGCAAGGCCTGCATAAACTTTTACCTGTTGTTCCGCATAAATGAACAGGCCCCTAATGTAGATTACGTAGGTTGTCTCCCTTGTGAGTTGGTTGTCTCCTTTTTGAGTTGGTTGTCTCCCTTATGAGTTGGTTGTCTCCCTTGTGAGTTGGTTGTCTCCCTGTGGTGTTTGGTAAGTACTTGGTGTATATTGTTAAAACTTTGGTCAGATGTAAAGTTGAAACTGTACCTGTGGATCTCGGTCTCTATCTGGTCGGCCTCTGTCTGCATGTCCTTAACATCAACCAACAGATTTTCGGCCTTCAGCTCCAGCTGGTCTCTCTCGTGTAGTGCTACCTCCAGCTGCTCCTTCCAATCCTGTCAATTAATTGTGTACTTCAAAATTAGTGATTCTCTAACATCACATCACTTCCATCCAAAACTCTAAATACCAAATATTTGGAAGTAGCTCTTTTTCCTTCTTTGTAATCAACTCTATTCAAGTTCACCAAAAACAGTCAGTCATAAAGACGATCATGTAACACACATTGTATTAGTCTTTATCTATTATAACAACAAATGTCATCAAAAATATATAGAGACTACTGAATTATAACCATTATTACCTGGACCTTCCCATTTTGATGTATCACACACTTACCTGGACCTTCCCATTTTGAGGTATCACACACTTACCTAATAAACATTATTAGAACTTAAATTAGGGTTTTTCCTGCTCATGTCTTAATACTGGTATTTTTTTGGGGGATAAACAGTAAACAGGCAGTTACACCCAGTGGAAATAGTAAAATTAAGAATAGATGAATCAAACAATAGCATGAAACTGTAACTCACCTCAGATCTCTCTACATATCTCTGAAGGTCAACCTGGAGTCCTTCGTTCTCTATATTCAATCGGCAGAGCTCGTCATCTTTCTCCTGTCCCTTAAATTTAAGTCGCTCCACTTCGGCCTTTAGTCGACACTCTGTTTCCTCCAGTTTGTGACAGTCCTCCTTCAATGTCTGTAGTTCTGCGACCTTCACAGTGAGGGTGACCTGAAGGTCAGTATGTCCAGGACTGTGTGGAGCCCTGGCAGGGGCAAGGTATTCTGTCTCAGTTGAGGAAAAGTCAGTCTCCGATGATGAGTCTGACCCACTGCAACACTTAATACTGAAATAGTAATCAACAATTTTTATATTTCTACTGGATTTTTTTAGATTTCAATTTGGCGTAGCTGAATGATGAACCTGGGCTATTACAGAGGTATCACAGATGTTATTTTTTACCTGATAAAAAAAACCCAAGAATTCCACAGGAGTGGATACATGTCTCGTCGCCTGCTCAGCGCTTTTAGTAAGAAAAGTGTTTTGGCTTGAGTTATGGCGTAAACAGATATGCCAAAACGAGGAAAGTTGAAGTTCAACAGAAAAACCTGTAATATATGTTGAACATTATTGCTTCTAGCATTACTGTACAAAATTTGAAAGGAATTGATTAAAAAATTAAAAAGTTCTTGCATTTACTACACAATGCCCTTATTTAGCAATAAAATGGGCATAACTCCACAAAAAATACACGTAAACTTCTGAAATTTGAACTTGTTCAAGCTATATTGGTATGCAATATGTCTACCAAGTTTGAGTTCAATCAACCCAAGGGAACTCAAGACAGCGACAAAGTAATACCTATATGTCGCCTCGCGTTGCTGGTGACACAAACATGGCTGATCTGGCATCAGATTGGTTAAAATCCCTTTATCTCCAAAACAGTTTGTGGTATAGAATTTTGTTATGAATACCAAAATAGTGTATCTTTTTGTCACCAGTGGCAAATTACAATTCATAAATACCATGGCACTAAAATAGTGATGAAAACTTTATTATTCGAAACTATTAAATATAGGCTTAGTATTATCTTCTAACATGTCCACCTTTGCTGTTAAGTTCGGGAACATATCATTCAACATTTGTTATCCAATGGAGCCTGGTGAAAGTTAATAATTTGTAAATTGTTTCTCATCATCAAGAGGTCAAAGGTACAGCGATACCTTTAAACTGTTACATAACGATTTCTAGTTTTCTACAGTGTTATTTAATTCCATATTTATATGCAACTGTAGAATTTAACTGATTTTCTGCCCTAAAACCTACAATTCCTGCTTTTCATATAAACAATCTGAACTTAACTACAATGCTTACTTTTTGGGTTGTCCGTCCTGGTTCTGTTTCCTGATATAAGTGAACCCTACAAAGGGCAGATCTTTTCCGGTAAACTCCTGAGGCTTCTGGAAATCCTCAAACGTTGGCTGGTATCGCACCCTCTCCAGTTCCTCGAAGTTGGAGGTATCATCCAGACACGACAGGTGGGGCACAAACGGAGGCGTCTCTGTTACACAAATCTTACCGATAAGTTGTTGGGCCATGTACTCAGAACGTTGCTGTGATGCTTCAGCAAAACTAGAGTCTAAGTTCAAAATAGATACTCAAAACCGTGATCATAACAGCCATCTTTAATTTTACCCAAAATAAATTTTAAAATGGTGGCCATGGTGGCCTTTTCCTCAGGAAACCTAAAAACATATCTCATTATTCAAAATAGACCTTGAAGTGTTTGCGGTTTGTGCCTGTGCATCTCCATGACTGCTAACAGTTGGCTAGCATAAGTGATAGCAATATTCAGTTTTATACAGTTTTTATAACTTTAAAAAAAAGTCAAGATCAAGGACTAAATAAATTGGTGATATGTGTAAAAATTAAGACAGGCTTTACTCCTATAATTTTAGTCTGTACCTTCCAATCCAAACCAGTGCTCATTGCTAGCCTTTACCTTGTCGAATGTCATCCCAGTTAATGGAGCAAAAGAATTTGTGTTTGGTGATGTCCCTAAAGCTGAGACGATCATCCTTCTCCGCGAGGAGACTACGAATAAGGCTCACGCCAGACGAAGACACGTGGTGGTTCTCAGGGAATTTCAGGCATTTCTGTCAAACATACACTTCAGTTAAAAGACATTCTCAGAAAATCAAACTAAGGCTATAAGATAAAAGCATTCAACAACTTCAAATCTTAACAATATTGTTAGACAGCATCGTTAGCCTTGTTTTTATAGACAGCCTTTATCATTATGTATATGTTCTCTTGTCAATATAACCAAAATGTAGAATATATAGGATCTAGACTTTGAAGTCAGTCAATCAGAATCTTCAGTTTCAATTTTGAAGAGAACTTAACATATTTATACTGTTGTCAATGTAATGAAGGGTGTTGATCATAGAATCTAAAAGTTGAACTTGATCAGAATCTTGTTCCGAGGAACAGCCGTTGGAATCTACTCACTGGTTTAAAGTGTACACAAGAAATATTGAGATGGACACAAAAGTAATATGTCACTTAACTCACCTTGAAGTTCATGATATTGGAGTAGGTGACGACCATAGACCCACCCTCATCTGTGAAGGGAGTCTTGCCAAAGAGCATTTCATAGAGACAGATCCCGAGGGACCACCAGTCCACCTCTACACCACTGTTACTCTTACGCTGGTCATTGTTCATTGTGATGAGTAGTTCAGGAGACACATAATCTGGAGTTCCCACCGGCATTTGTGACGACACCTAGTGATTAAAAGCAGCTTGGTAGTGCACACTATTGATCAGTATATAGCAGGCTACTATTGTTATAGGTTTCAATATAATCATAAATCAATATGGACAGAACAAGAAATTATGCAAACACAGCTGTCAAGAAAAACTTCCAAATCTATATCTTTGCAGGACATTTTCAGAACCAGTGAAATCTATCCTCATGATGTGTCTTCCAGATTAAAAACTAGGTATTTATCAAACAGGAAATTCGCATTTGAAATAGACAGAGGTAAACAAAGAAAGCAAACTGCAGGAGATCATTTATTTTAGACAGATGAAACATTTTAAATATGATTACATACCAGTCCATCAGAAGATAGTTTGGCTGCAGAACCAAAATCTGCCAGTTTAACGTGACCCTGGCAGTCAAGCAATATATTCTCTGGCTTTACATCCCTGTAATAGAAAGTACACACTGGAAAGATTAAAACAGATTTCAAGCAAAACACACACAAAAATAGATACATAACAGCTATGTAATCTAAACATTTACTACATTGAATCAATATGGGCAAAACAAGAAATTATATGACCACAGTTTTTCAAGAAAAACTTCAAAACCTAAATCTTTGTGGCCACTGACTCTTCAAATAAATCATCGTCGCTAAAACAGATTAATTATTTTTGGACCTATTTCACTAATATAAAACAGATTTTCCAAAAATAAAGCTTAATAATTAATAAGAAAGTCAGATTAAAACAAAACGTTTAAAAGATTTAATCTATTGCAAATGATGTTTACACACTCCTGAACAGTATGTTTGCCATTCTGGAGTTACTTCAGTACTAACTTACTTACCTGTGAACATAGCCCATGTTATGTAAAGCATCTATTGACAATGTCATCTCTGCTAAGTAAAATCGGGCCATCGACTCTTCAAATATGTCATCATGTCTGAAACAGACATATGGCAATCATGGCTTTCAATAGCATAAAATAGTCTGTGAACTTCAGGTTTGAAATCCCGAGTTACAAAATACCAAATTCATAAAAAATGAGGGTTAACAACTTAACATTGACCAATTACCTGTACGTTTGCATCAATTTAAAAAAGATTGTAAAATGTTTGACAGTGCAAGTATATTTTATATGACTGACTTTTTTTTTTTTTTTAATTAAATAGCAAATTAATATGATTCAATTTAGCAATAAATGCGAACTGACTTATAAAACATTTGTAGCACCAAAACTGGACTAAATGTTTAACAATTATTGCTTCTGTACAAAAAACAACAACATCTAAAATAAATATATATATGTAAAGCTGGCTCATTTATGGGCTATTTCGGATATGAATGTGTATGTGGGACTGGTTCAGGGATGCACCGAAATAATTTCCAAAATTTGAATAGTACATATAGCTAGACCCCAGATAAAAAGTAATTGTGGGTGGGGGTGTTACAAAAATGTGCCTCCTTCGGGTGTGCTATCAATTAGTGACAAAATCAAGTTGGCTACTGTTACAAAACAACAAGGTACAGGCTTAATGTAACACAGGAGTCACCAGCCATTATTTGAAGCATCAAGCTCACACTGCATGTTAAGTCATATTGAATTTCACACGGTCACAGTTCATTGAAAGCCCAGGTAATGGAGCTATTTGGACATACATGTAGTTTTTTGACACAAACGAAATCATGAACATTTCCTACACAAGTTTTACCTGGACAACAGAGTGAGGAGATCTCCTCCAGCGTGGAAGTCCATGACAAGATGGAGGTTGAGCGAGTCCTGGAAGGCATAGTGTAGACGTGTGATCCACGGACTGGTCGCCTTCGCCATGATGTCTCTCTCTTCCTCATAGAATGAAATCTAATGAAAACGGAACATTTTATTCTATAATTATGCAGTTATACTATATATGTCAAATTTATAAACCATTGATTAAAGAATAATGTGACACTGCAAAACAGTAAAACACTGTACAAAAGCTTCCTGGATTGACATACATCTGTATATCCCTAAGACAATTATTTTTTCACTGTACTGATTATGAAATGAAAAATAATATTTTCACAACCCCATACTCTAGTACAACTGCATAGCATTCATGATGATTGTCCTATAGTTATTAATTAAAACAAGTGAAAATGTACTTTGACTAGAACACCTTGATCATCTTTTGGTCATGGGACTAAAAATTGATTTTAAATATTATGTCGCTTGTGTATTTTACATGTGCAGGTCCTTAGGGCGAGATAAAGATTGAGTGCTCTGGTGTTGATAAAATCCTTACCTCCTGTTGGGCCAAGGTTTCATTCTTGCGTAGGATTTTCATGGCATACACGATGTCAGTACTCTTTTCCCTCACGACCAGTACTTCTCCAAAGTGTCCTCTTCCAATAGCATCTTTCACCTCAAAATCTGTTGCCCTGATTCGTATTTTCTTAATCTCACATATCGTCTTACCATCTACAGAAACAAACAAATTTGTCCTCCCCTAATAATACCTGGATCACCATGTCAACTGTAATATGGTTTGATCTTAATGTAATGGAGTCTGTTTCATTAAAACAATATACGATGTAAGAAATGGAAAGGCACTTTATAGAAAATATATAGTTGGGTGCACTTGACCAAAAAACAAATCAATGATATGCCATGCCGTTTTGGGTGAAAAACATTTTAAGAGTGCATCATTAATTGGGAGAATACAGACACAGGCATCGACTGAAGTCTAATCTTTTAATCATTGACAAAGATACGTATACAATATCAACTTTGACAGTTGTATCATCTGCTTTCCCTTACCATCCCATATATCTATCATATATGAACAGCCTTCAGCTTCCATGTTACAATATCGCTGAATGAAAATGTTCTGTTTTATAATTACATTACATAAAGTACACTACTGGTGAAATTTGACTTTTCAAATACACGTGTATACCCATACAAAATATTATACAACACTTTCAGGGATACATATATATCAGTTTTCTTTGAAAGAAAGCCTAACACTTTTAAAACATTTCTTCAGACTTACATTTCTTAACAAATGCTGCCACATGCTTGTTTTGCTTGACAAATTCATGTCCACATTCATCATACAGAGTGATAAGGGCATCTAAAAGTCCCTCCTTAGTAACAAGTGAGGTATGGATCTCGGACGTCTCCACATTGCCCTGTACCAGGTCATCCAACACACGGATGCGGTGACAGATTGAATCCAGGCTCATCTCCATCTCAACATCTGAAGACTTACCATGTCCGAAATATGAAAATTGCTGAAGAAAAAATAATCAAAACAAGATCATTTTTATTCATAGATAATAGTCAACAGCATCAATTAAAGCAATTTGCTTATTTGTCACTGTATTATTCATCAATTGAGTGTCTAACATACCTGTACTAAGTTTCCAAAATAATTATTTTCCTTAATTGTCCCCATCCCACATGTACTTATATCAAAGAAGCATTATGTAAGTCCATCACACAATATATAGTGTTTGCATTTGAAAGGAGCATTCGTGTTATAAGGCATTAAGGGCATTTCACTTACCGGCAGATCTACAGTACAGGTGAAAAATATAACAATTTCAAAGAGTAACGTTATACACTGTCCGTTTACTTTGGAGGCGTTAACATCTTTGAGAATAATCACTTTTAGAACTGTTTTAAGTCAAACTGAGTTAATGATAAGATCGAGTTGTCACTTCAGTATTGTCGTGATGTCAATGACAAGATCATTGACTCCAGTTTAATTTAGATAGAGAAAGTAGCCAAATATTGTAAACACTGTCAACAGGCGCACCTGTTATTCTTCGATTCATTCAGTTATTTCACAAAGCAATACACAATTACAATCTTTCACAACACAAAATCAAATATACACTATACATTATTTATCAACAAGCTATACAATGTAAGATCACATGCAATTTCTACATCTAGTTCAAACCTTTCTTCAAATCAAGCGCCATTTTTTATATGCACTCGCGAATTATTGTTTGCGCCATCTAGCGGATACGGTTAAACCGGTACTAGGTCAAAACCGACCCTCAATAATATTGCCCGGTGTAAAGTAAGACGATATAGGCCGTGCATTTTAGATAGCTTGTATAACGACATTTTAAAACAAATTAAAGAATGGCAATTTTCCAGGAGAGAAGTTCGGCAGTTTTCACCAGATTTTTCTAAGTATGAATAGGCCTACACAATCAGATAATTATGAAATTAAGGTAAAGTCTGGTTAAAAGGAGCGTAGCTTTTGCTAATCTCTGATAATAGAGGACTCGAATGCGCCATATAACAAATTTTGTGCCAGTCAAGACAAAAATAGATATTTTTTCGGAGAAAGTATCAATTAAAAATTGTATTTCAATCTGAATGGATAACGCACCAACTAAAATCAAGCCTAAATTACTAATAGGGTATAATGTCCTATGTGTCTGTGGCTAAATGATTATATTATAGCACGTGATTGTAGTGTCGTAATTTAAAACATTTTTCAACATCCCAAATGCTTAACTGAAATGATTCGGTGAAAGTGATTTCCACATGTGATCGATGCTCCTACAGTTATACGATTTGAAATGATTTCAGAAAGATATTGAAAATGTCGTATAAAATATTCATAAAAAAAATGTATTTTTTCAGGAGAAATCTGAAAGCTGACAGATAATATATTATCTATGTGAAATTAATCTTGTTGATGGATTATAAGCTTAGAACTTCCGTTTATATTTTTTTCTAATAAATCCATTATCATTATAACCACTGATGAAGCAAGCTCCTGCCAACATATAATAGTCAGTAATCAAATCAAATCCATAAACAAAATCTTCCTCTGCATCTATTTAAATTTTCTACCGTGATAAATAACCAAATGTATCACAATTTACATTTAACGCCAGATTTTTTTAATTCCAAATGATTTATAGTAATCTCAAACTAATTTGTACGATATACTAATCTCAAACTAATTTTTACGATATACTAATCACAAACTAATTTGTACGATATACTAATCTCAAACTAATTTGCACGATATACTAATCTCAAACTAATTTGTATTTTTAAGCTGTTTAAATTTTAAAACATCTTATTTCGATTTGTGTATGATTGACATAAATTCATTTCAATAGTTGCAATCCTATCTAAACATTAACCGCCTACTTGCCGTTAATTCAAACAAAGTTAGACTCCTATCACGGACTTAGATAACCTAATTCCGTGCTCCTATTAAGCATTCGCCGATTTCAATAAATCGGGAGAGGGAGTTGGGTTGAGGGGTGTGTGGAGGGGGTAGTTACAATATACAAAATGGAGTAGATCCATAAAAAAAGAGTGTTTATGGTCTGGACTTCCTCGGATGGAGAATTTGCCGCTAGCACCGTGTTGAAATTTAGATGTTAAAAAACAAATTTCAACTTTAATTTGAAGACGGAAATTATAGGTTTAAATGAATAGCATCTCTTCCATTCACCAAGGCGAACGGGGTTCGATTCCCTGACTGACTTCAAATGTTTTGTTTGACGTAAATAGAGCAGTGTTAAAGGCATTTTCTCATTTCGATTTTTTTTCGAGCTTCGCCGAATGTGTTACACCACTATTTACAAACATTTGTGCATAAAAAAGGTTGGATATAAGATATGTAAACTTACTTCAGAGCGGTATTTCTACAGGTAAACAGATTTTACTAAAAAATGGTTTACCTGTAGAAATACTATGAAGTTAGTTTATAAATAGTGTTTTTTTTATGCGGAACTTAGATATTTTCAATATTAAAACTCATTGTCAATTAAAATGTTAGTTTTAGTTGTAGAGAGGGAAATATGGTGTTCTAAGAAGCTCATTATGTATAGATATATGAGGGTTTCACTACATATCTATAATATAGAAATGGGGTAGGCATATGGCTATTGCTGACGTTTCGAAATATATATATAACTCCTAATATATCAGAAATATCGGGGTTAAAAAGGAAATAAAGTTGTGTGGATGTCCAGATGTTTACAAACACGCTTCTTCTGTGATTATGGTGGTAAGAAATGTTACAGTGATATTCTTTATAAGCCTCATCTATACCGGCCTACATTATTTAATGTCCATTAAAAAAAACACCTTTCTTGCTTATATACGGTGTCAATAGCAACTCCGAAAAAGAAAACTTAATACAAACCAACTGTAATTAGGGTTAGGCAGGAAAAAACAAACAATTTCGAACCACAATTAACTCAGAGACGTATAACTGTATGACACTGACAATATCGATGCCAAATTGTTTTCGCGTTTGACTTCAAACAATCCAGATGTCTGTGAAACAGATTCATGGTTTAAACTGCTCAGTTAATATTTCATCATTGTTATTTCTTCTTTCTTACGTTCATTTATTCTTTATGCCAATTAATTTAAACATTAACTTTTCCATTGACAAGCTAGCATCCTTGACTTAGTAGTTTGACCAGGGCAGTTTTTAACGGGGGCATATTTTTTACGGAAGCCGGAACATTTACACGGGAGACAATTTATAAACAGGAAGTTTACATATGGTACTTCCCGCGCGAAATATGATGAGCTATGGCACCAGTCTCCCTGAAATACGTCGTGTCCTTCACATCACAGGTAAAACCAAATGTTTAACACAAACAATGACTCAATGAAAGGAATTTGTTATGATCGCGATTTGTAACTGAATCAATGAAAAGGGAGGGACACTGCAACATTTGTCACTGCCGGTACAGTTTACTGTTATCCTACAATAACAATGTGTGTCCTGTTGCTGCTTGACCATCGCCCACAGTGAAGAATAGGTATAATGATGTGAGATGTGATACGATACGAGGTTGGGCTTTCTTTTATATCTACGATATCGACAATGTTGGTTGACAAAAGACACAAATTAAATTATATCTTCTAAATAGTTCATTTTGACTATGTTATGACATGACTACTCTTCTTCTTCCACATAATTGCCTACTTCGTCTTATCGAAGATTATGCAATGTTTATGATACACAATGCGCAGGTGAACACACAATTGAAAATTTGAGTTTGTAAGAGTTAAAAAGTAAAAACACTGATGTAGTGTCAGACTTTTAAATCTGGTTGATTCGACCCACCAGTCGCCTAGTGAGTTCGGGGTCTGTTTGAAGTTTGAGCTTTTTTAGTTCCAATTCGTTGAGAGTTTTCTTAAAGGTTTTCAAGTTTGTCGAATTCACAGTTTTTGAGTCAAGTTCGTTCTAGTCTTTTATTGTTTGAGGGAAGAATGAATATTTTCTTGGGTCTATTTTACATGCCTGGATTTGGTAGGACCGATCGTGTTGTTTTCTGGACCTTTTAAAAAACAGTGTTTGTTCTCAGAAAGTACATAAAATTATCTTTCCTGTGATCTGACCCTAACATCACGCTGCCACAATTGGTACAGTTTTGACAGTTTTTTAGTGATCTTTAAAAATTCAGATCTTGTATTTGGAATATTTCTTGATTCTTGACAAAGACTTCCTATGGTGGTTCATTTTCAGGAAGAGTTGTATATCTAAGTCTTTTGTTTTTGAAAATAAAACGCTAAACTCGGAGTGAGATTTCATCCATTTTTCGGCCGTAAATTTAAAAATAATACCCAAATTGGTACACCATATCACAGGCTATGGAATTTGTTTTTATTTCTACAAGTAAGTGAAGTTGATGTGCCGATTACAACAAAATATATTGCTTTTATAGATAACATACTGAACTATAATTGTCTATATTAACTTTTATATTATACGAATATAAGGACCAGAAATCATCATTTAAACATGCATATATTTAACCCCTTGAAAATCCTCCAAAATTTCGTCGACATACATTGTTTTTACTGGTTTTCTGATATGTTTACTTTGAAGTCATCGTGTACTCTTAAAGTGTTCCTGAAAACAAAACTATTCGTCAGAAGTGCTGATAAATATCTCTTTTGTTATAATGTCAAAGGAAAATGCTAAAATTTAATTTTAAAGTACTATTCGAACAATTTTCTGACCGTGTACCAATTGTGGTAGCATGACGTTATATAGCTGGCTTTATATGTCTCTGCTAACTGTGACAATTAAAGATCTTCATGCCATAAACACTCGAAATAAGGAAAAATCAAATTTTAAGTTTATTGTCTAAAAGTATCCTGTATCAAAGATTTTATTGTGATTTACTTCCAGGACAACAACTACCCAGTCCAAAACCTGATCAGCAATGATGGATTCAAGAAATGGCTATCAAACCCAAAGGAAAAGTCTGGTCAGATTGAAGCAGTCTTCCAACTAGAGCAGAGCTGTAAAATATCATATATTGACATAGGTAAACCGAAACCCCAATTGTTCATATATGTACTGTTGGAACTATTATTTTGTCATTCATTAGTAGAAATAATTTGCTTTTAAAGATGTTTCATCTGTATATTATTTCCATGTTGCATTAACTGTATGTTGTTTATGGGGTGTTATTATATGCCTGATAGCTGATACATGTAATCATCATTATCGAGTGGCATGCTCTGGTAATGAAATAATTACAAACCAAATGGCCATCCTTAATGGACTGGTTTCGATATCCTGCATCACCTATATGACTGTTGTCTCAACATGGTTCAGTATGCTACACCAACCCAGTGGGAGATAAAAAAAAGCTTTCTATTACCTGTACATTCATTATAACTTTATGCTATTTCTTGTTATATTTTAGGTCTGATATGGTGTGCCATGCTGGAGATACAGGTTGGTCGGTCAGACTGGCCGGTGGGTCAAGATTACCAGACCTTACTCCATACTGCCAGTATCATGAGCCCGGGGGACTGTAGGGGCAATATCAACACTGTCAGGACCAGGATGTTTGGAATAGGTAGGTTTTCCTCAGGGCAACCAGAGTACAGAATCACAGAGACATGATTCTGATAATCTAGAGAAATTCTAGGCATTGAGCTGTTTGCAGGAGAAATGCAGCTGCTTTATAATATAAATGAAGGCATTAAAAACTTTCTAAGTTTTGTTACAAACAATGTAGATCCAAGACATTGCTACAGTTTGGGTGTAAAAATCTAAACAAACTACAGTTTGGGTGTAAAAATCTAAACAAACTACAGTTTGGGTGTAAAAATCTAAACAAACTACAGTTTGGGTGTAAAAATCTAAACAAACTACAGTTTGGGTGTAAAAATCTAAACAAACTACAGTTTGGGTGTAAAAATCTAAACAAACTACAGTTTGGGTGTAAAAATCTAAACAAACTACAGTTTGGGTGTAAAAATCTAAACAAACTACAGTTTGGGTGTAAAAATCTAAATCGAAATAAATTCTGTTTAATTTTGATAGAACATTTCAATGAAGTGGTTGCTAAGGAAACATGGGACCGAATACGTGTAATCTGTCGCCAACCATGGAGAAAGGATGTCCAATATGGCATCTCTTTCATCAAGATCAAGACCAACACTACAGCAACAGGCGAAGACCAGCAGGGAAGACCTCTCCAGTCTATGACCCACAAATCAGCTAAATCTATACAAAAACACTTCTTTGGCAAGAAATCACCTGGGTAAGTGCAACGACTTATTTCCAATGTTTTCAATATTATCTGACATTCAAATATTTGCTATATTTTTACTCACTATGGGAAGTTATGTGTTTAATACGCATCATTTATAACATTTGACCTCATTCAATGTGTTAAGAGATTTGCCAGATTTATTTGGTACATGGCATTATGTGATTTCTAAGCCTATTTTTCTCAACATTGGGTAAATCATTTCTAAACATTTTCTTCAGTAAGTATGGATTATGAGAAGTTCTTTTTACACAACCAATACAATTTTCTATGTGAGGTTACGATATGAACACTGTCACCTTTGTTGTGATTATGTGTTTATGACTTTCGGTCCGCATTCCAGATCCATTGTCTGTATAAGTATATGCCTTGCAATGCACTATGGGATATTCAATAAATACTGTTTTGACCTGAATGGCGGCTCTCCTGGTTTTCCCTGACAAATGGTGTAGAACACAACGACTTGTCCATAAATCGATGTCGATTTCGAGCTACGCTGGAAACGTATGTAGAATAGTTGTTATATATGTACCGAAATGACTCAATTCAGCTACGCTTTGGGTAATTTAATTGGGTAAATCATGCTGAAATCTTCACATTGTTATACAATTATAGCATGGTAATGAGGGGTCGATACATGGTTTTGACCGAAATCACCATGCTACACTGATTTTTTCAAAATTGAAGAAAAAAATGTAAAAAAATATAGTTTTACATAAAAAAAATCCATAATCTATTTATAGCAGGTTAATAACACTTTTTTACCAACTTTTTTGAACACCTGTTCCAGAATCTATTTATAGCAGGTCAATAACACTTGTTCTTCCAACTTTTTTGAACACCTGCAAACCACTCGGGTTTATAACCACTTTTACAGGTGGTCACATGATGTTGTTTCAGCCAATCAGAGTCAGCTCAAAAAATAATAATAATATTCAATTATAGCATTTGGCTGAGGTCGATACCTGGATTTCTCAGGTCAATAAATCCAGGTATTGATCGAAGTTAAAGGCTATAATTGTTTAATTATTTTACAAAACAGTAATGTAAGCAATCTGAAAAAAAACCACAATAAAAAGCTTCGGAACTGGGACGGTGCATTGTTTGGAGACACGTCATAATTCTATTTTTAGAAACACCCAGTCCTTCAACAAAAATCACGCGCTCTAAGTCAATATCAGTTTTTATCGGTGGACACGTGATGCACTCCTGGCCAATCACTTGTCGATAATAATATGAAAAAATAATAACATTCTTTACGGTTCTTCAAATCTGTCCAAAGAAGACGATGAAAATATTTTCATATAGTTCCGACCTACCTAAGGTCAGTAGTATACTTATAAACTGATAGCTGTTATCGTATCGTCTCTCTGGCTTATTCTTCTCAGTTTCTTTTTCTTTCTACCTTTCCTTTCCTCTTTGTTCATATAGATGTTTTTGATAAATATTTTTGTTGTTGTTTTCATGTAATTTATATATAAATGAAATGTATTGGAGAAGAGGTTTTTGAGTTGAGATGACTTTTGCCTTATCCTTTTTGTTGAATGACAAATAAAATATGTTTAAATCAAGACTATTGCCACAGTTGAAATGACGACTTGTATATCTTGTACAGTATCTTGTGTAAACATGATCACTATTGTAAAACAGAAACTCGGTTGCTATTGTTAACTTATGAACTATTTTGATTTTCAGTGATAACAAAGATGAGTTGGTGTCCCGTCTGTTAAAGATTGCAGGATCATCAGAGGACGGGACTGAGAAAACAGAGTCACTCTCGCGCACTGCCAAACTTGTGATTGCAGCCAAGGACACAGCAATGAAGACCATGTGCCCCACTGCACAGAGTGTATCTCCCTCCAACCGACAGGCCCTTTACTCCGGTAGTCTGGTGTCCAAGTATGGGCCAAAGGTAGGTCAGGTTCTTAGATGAATTATGGCAATATAATATAGTACCTCGTTCGGTGATAGGACACTGCTGTGACCTATAACTATATGATTTAGCACTTGTTTAAGTGAGAGGATGCTGTCGTGACCTGCTGTGACCTATGACAATATGAAACATTACTGGGTTTAGTGATAGAACAGTGTATTGAATGATGACAGTGTAGTAGAGGTGGTTATGTTGTGTATGATGGAACAACTCCTCTGGGTTTTGTTCACTGTCAGTTTATTCACTCATTGTAAAACCAAAAGAACCCTGCAACAAGTACAAAGTACAAGCTACAGTCAATTTAGATATGATTTTGCATCAATAACGTTTTGAAAATTGAACGAATTATTTTTGTAGTTGGTGTCTTCAGGTTATCATTTTGAAACCCTATGTGGCTATTGCGCAGATAGGAATTTCAATATTTTTGAATGTCTTAAATGAAAGAGTTTTTAAACAACTTACCTGGTAATCCTGAAGACCTGATACAAAGGTATGTTTGTTCTGTCATAGGTCTAAGGTTATAAATTTACCAATTGCTTAGTTGTACAATTAACATTGGGGGGGGGGGGGGGACTTGTAAACAATGCAGCACTATATTATTTTTTTTTAAATCTTCTTTTTTCAAAATTTGATTTTATTGAATTAAATTCCTGTCTTAATTACAGCTTGAAGAAGAGATAGCCGATTTCTTAGCATCTTATGAAATCAATCCTAAAGACCTTGACAAAATTACAATCGCTGGTAAGTACGTCAATTATTACCATTACGTATGTGTAGGGCAATAGTTCTAATTCTAAATAGGAAAGTCAGTCTAATCAGTGTTCTCATTAAAAGCTGGTTGCTTGCTAAAGTAACCTGTTATTCAGCAACTCTGAACCAGCTTGTTTACAACATTATAGTATGTAAATATTCCACCGGCTATTATTGTCAAGTCAATTGCCTATTTCAAAACTTGGTGAGAACATTGCTAATGTATCATATAGGTCTAAAATATGTAGCTTGTATCAGGTTTTACAATAGGTTATTTCTATTGCAGATATTCGACACAAGTTTGAGAAAACTAAGAAAAGAAAGCTGACCCCAGAGGAGAAGAAAATCTTTATAGAGTTGGCACGAGAATACATCTGTTTGATGTTTGCTGAGGGGGACATAAACAAGCACACTCCTCTCCAGCTAAAAGAGGTGGATAAAAAGCAAGTCAACTCCGCGGTGAAACATGACAAAAGCCAAGTTCATGCTAAAAAAAGTATTTTGACAGATGCTAAAGGAAACCATCCAGAAAAATGTAAGACTACACCAAAAGGAGTGAAGAGTTCTACAGATAAGAACAAAACTTTGGAAAATAGTCCCCCCAAACACACACCCTCTAAACCAGGGAAGGCCTCCTGTATCTCTGAACAGAAAAAGAACGAAGTGAAGAATGCAGCTTTTGAGTTCAAGAAAAATGGATTCAGCTCACCTAGAACTAATAGAATGAGTATGGATTCAGAGAAAGAAATCGCTGATGATAATGAGAGGTTAAAGGTCAAATTAGTCTCTAATTTTGGACCAAGTTTTACCCATAAATCTCCCAAAGGTCCTAACAAACAGAAAACTATAAACAGTTATCACCCTTCGTCACCATCCACAAATAATACCTGGCTATCAGCAACGTCACCTACATCTACACCTCCTGTCAGCCCCGGGGCCCAGGGCAGGAAGAGGTCCCTCAGTGGGGCTGGACCCAGGGCAAAGATTCCCCGAACAGAGGAGGAGGTTTACACCCCTACCCAGGGTCGTAAGGCAGGGTAAGTGGACAGCATTAACAGATTATTTAAGGAATTAACTATATCCTCTTTATTTATTCCCTGTTTATGCATTATTAAGTATCTTAAAAAATTGTGTGCACTTGGTATGGGAAATAAACACTGCATCGTCTTCCGTATTTCATATGAAAGACAACTCTTTTTTTTATGCAAAGTTAATTGTTTATTTATTCATTGTGTCAAAATGGCAATCATATAACCTATTTCTCCTTGCTTGATCAAATAGTCAGAGGGATTGATGATGTTTGAAAAATTGCTACATTTGTGACATTAATAGCAACACAGCCTGACACTAACCTGGTGTCACTTTTACATTTTATCTTAATAGACATTGCCGTGGAAGAGGCAAACGGGGCAGTGCCAACTCAAGGGAAATAACTCCTACATCTTTTGAGCGCTGTGCCGTATGTCATGGTGCGTAACAGATTATGTTCACTTATCTTTTAAAAGAAAATCAACTATGAAGTAGGGTTGTCAATGGTTAACTGGTTACTCGATCAGAAGACCACTAACCGCTTACCAAGATCAATAACCAAAAAGTAGGACATTTACTAAATTATCATGCTAAATTGCTTAAATTAGTATATACATGTATATTTGTGGTATAAATACATTTAAGACAGAACATTTGCTAAACATAGAATGTGTTTGTCATTGTTTATTGTTTAATCACTAAATTGACAGATTATCTGGTTACTCGATCGGAAGATTGTTCGAGTAACCATTACCAAAATTTGACCGGTTTGACAACCCTACTATAAAGATATAAAATGGGAAAGAAAGACAGAGTTCACAATTGTACCTTATACATTTCACTGATTATATTACAGAATCTGTCCCGGAGGACCAGGTGGTTTCTCACACCCTTGTGTGTAGGGGCTCTGATCTGGACTTCTGTGACACACCACATTACCAGGGGGAGTCCTCAGGCAAAGACGGTTCACAGAGTAACCAGGAAGGATTTCCGGGCATGGGCAATATCCTAGGCAATGGTATTGAAATGACTAGTCCAATGAGTGGGTTATACCCAGACGTATATATTCCCTCAAACAGAGGTCCTAGTGTCTCCGAGTTCTCGGACCAATACGTGGAGTGTCCACTCTGTAACGAGTTTTTCCGGCAGTGTGTGGTGGAGAGACATGCTGCTACCTGTGGTACGTGATATAACCCTCTATAGTTGAAATAAGACATCAGAATTAATACTTACAGTGCATGTTTGTGACTTACAGACAATGTGGAAATCTAGCAGGCATTGAAGTCCAGCAGGTGCAGAACATTTACATCACCACCTTTGTGCATATATGTGACTTACCAACACTAATACTGAAAAATTTCAAGCACAGGACATCCATATCACCACCTGAAAATGTGTGTGGAAGTCCATTCTCTAGAGCAGAACATGAAATAATAACCTGAAATATTTTTTAGCTCACATGATTCTTCTTTCGTTGTGTCATGCGATGTGTGTCCTTCGTCGTTCATTAACAATTAACATTTGTGACTTCTTGAAAACCACTGAACTCATTGAATTCAAGCTTGGTACAACTGTTCCTTATAATGTCCCAACCAAGTGTTCTTATTTTTCATGCCAATGTGAAAATCTAAGATGTCCCCCTAGCGTCCGATTGGCCGAGATATTTTCAATTATTTTTTTTAAGAGCGGCTACACCGAATTTGGTACAAATGTATGAGGTCCCCAACAAGTGTACATGTGTACCTACTTTTAGTGCCATTTCGAAAATGAAATATTACTGCTCTAGCCTCTGACTGGTCAAGACATTTGTTCTTCTTCTCAGGAACGGCTGCACTGTGATTCCAAACTTGGTACAGGTGTTCCTTGTGAGGTCCCCAACGAGGCTTCCTACTTTTCTTGCTGACCTGAAAATCAAAGATGGCCAATATGGCCTCTGTTTGGTTGAAACATTTTCAATTTGAGTTCAAGTGAGAAGAAAGGCTTGTTACTTTTCTTTTAGATAAAAGTAAATATTTTGTCTTATTTTATTTAAATTTTATTTGAATGAATTCATGTTTCATTTCAGAGAGATATAGTTGAAGAGCTAGTGAAATGCTTTTATTTAGAATAGTGAAATGCTCTATATATGACTTATGAATAGCTCTATATATGACTTATGAATAGCTTCATATATGACTTATGAATAGCTCTATATATGACTTATGAATAGCTCTATATATGACTTTTGAATAGCTCTATATATGACTTATGAATAGCTCTAAGTACGACCACTGAGAAGATTTAAATACGACTACTGAAGGATTTAAATACGACCACTGAGAAGATTTAAATACGACCACTGAGAAGATTTAAATACGACTACCGAGCAAGATGCTCTTAACATGTCTGACTTACGAACTTTTCTATCTACACCTGTGATAGCAGCTGAGGATTTTTAGCTCACCTGGTCCGAAGGACCAAGGTGAGCTTATGCCATCCCGTGGCGTCCGTCGTCCGTACGTCCGTACATCACCAATTTCTTTAAACGACTTCTTCTCCTTAACCACCGGTTGGAATTAAACTTAATTTGACTGGAAGCATCCCTAGGTGGTAGGGATTCAAAATTTTATAAATGGTGGGGCTGACCCCCCAGGGGGCTGAGGGGCGGGGGGGCCAAAAGGGGGCAATTTGGCTATATTGCTACAAACGACTTCTTATGCAGAACTATGCCATGGATATTGATCATATTTGGTCGGAGGGATTTATGGGATGCATGGATTCAAAATTGTACAAATGGTGGGACTGACTCCCCAGAGGGCTAACGGGCGGGGCCATAAGGGGGCAATTTGCCTATATTGCTACAAACGACTTCTTATGCAGAACTATGCCATGGATATTGATCATATTTGGTCGGAGGGATTTATGGGATGCATGGATTCAAAATTGTACAAATGGTGGGACTGACTCCCCAGAGGGCTAACGGGCGGGGCCATAAGGGGGCAATTTGCCTATATTGCTACAAACGACTTCTTCTGCAGAACTATGCCATGGATATTGATCATATTTGGTCGGAGGGATTTATGGGATGCATGGATTCAAAATTGTACAAATGGTGGGACTGACTCCCCAGAGGGCTAACGGGCGGGGCCATAAGGGGGCAATTTGGCTATATTGCTACAAACGACTTCTTCTGCAGAACTATGCCATGGATATTGATCATATTTGGTCGGAGGTATTTATGGGATGCATGGATTCAAAATTGTACAAATGGTGGGGCTGACCCCCCGGGCTAAGGGGTGGGGCCAATAAAATGTATTACTTGGAAATGGTTGAGATCCCCACCATATAACCATATATACAATTGCTGAGTATAAAGAGAAGAATGCACATTTGCTTCCAGGATGTCCCTAGGGTCTGGCCCCACCCTTGGAGACATAGTCCCTGGGCCATAACTTTAAAACGGTTGAGATCCCCACCCCAAAACTATATATACAAATGCTGGGCATAAAGAGACGAATGCAATCATGATATCAGAATAGACCCTGGGGTCTGACCGAACCCCTAGGGACCTAGTTTCTTAGTCACAGCTTGGAAACAGTTGAGAGCCCCACCCTATAACCGTATATATACAATTGCTGAGTATAAAGAGATGATTGCACATATGCTTCCAGGTTGGCCTTGGGGACTGCCCCACCCTTGGAGACTTAACCCCTGGGTCATAACTTTGAAATGGTTAATATCCCCACCCCAAAACTATATATACAATTGTTGGGCATAAAGAGACGAATGCAGTCATGATATTAGAATTGATCCCAGGGTCTGCCCCACCCTTGCAGACTTGGCCCCTGGGTCATAACTTTGAAACGGTTGAGATCCCCACCCCAAAACCATATATACAAATGCTTGGCAAAAAGAGACAAATGCAGTCAAGATATTAGAATCGATCCTGGGGTCTGGACACAACTCTAGGGACCTAGTTTCTGAGTCAAAGCTTGGAAACAGTTGAGATCCCCACCCCATAACCATACATAAAATTGCTGGGCATGAAAAATCTAATATAGCTATGCTACAAGGATTGGCCTTGGGGTCTTGCATATTCCCTTGATCTCATTTGGAGAATAGTTTACCATGATTGCTTAGGTATCCAGGTGAGCGATACAGGCCCTCTGGGCCTCTTGTTTCATAGTGCTAACAACTTTCAGGTGAAGATAGTGTGTAGTGGGTTTTGGCATTTGTTATTCAATGTTTTATTGTTGGAAGATGAATCCTCAAATTCTACAGAACAATAATAACACTGACTTAAAAACAGGGGAAAAAATGCAAATTCATCACTAGTAGTGATGAATTTGCATTTTTTCCCCATGTAGTGACTACATGAATTTGTTTTGTCTACACACTGGTACCCTCATATACACGGTGAGTCACCAGTATATAAACAACGAGAAATCACAGCTGGCCTATATAGGTTTAGATAATTATAGAAACCTTAATTTATCACTGCCAGATTGTAGTGTTTTCTTAGCAAGATTATTTTTAAATTATGAAGAAACTATAATTATATACAATTATGACAAAAATCACCTTCATCATCTTTTAATTGGATACCTGTGCTCTTTTTCTAATAAAACGTTTAGTATTTGTCGTATTTGTGTTACAGTTAATGAATGTCATGTTTTAATGAATTTTAATAAGTTTTCAAATTTGAAAAAAGAAACAAATTTAGCCATTAACAAAAGGTGTCAGTAATGCACCACCTCATACCATAGTTCATTATTTGAACCCATCAAATTAACTGATTGTGTTAATTAATATATATTTAACCAACCTCTGCCTTCTAATGGATAGCCTGGGAGTTTACAGACAGTTATAGTAGAAATCAAGGCTTTGTACAATGAGATATACTTTTATGATTGTGTGACCTGATTGTGATATATTAAGTTTTGTGGACATTAAATACCATTATATGGTGATTTACATCTTATCCTTGTCTTTTTCTTTTGAACATACAAAATCAGGCTGTTCTCAGAGCATATAAATATCTCACATCACCTGTCAAACTATGTAAATTCACCCCAGCGTGATATTACCAAATTATTCTAAGTCTATATTAGTTGCGCCCCTTGTAGTATGTAAGTACCGACAGAATTCAGGTTACACCAAGTCTACCGGAGTTGCGCCCCTTGTAGTATGTAAGTACTGACAGAATTCAGGTTACACCAAGTCTACCGGAGTTGTGTCCCTTGATACATTGAAGAAGAAGAAGAAAAGGAACATTATGTCAACAAGAGTTGTGCCCCTTTCATTAGCAGTGTGATTGTTACAAGATGGGGAGTGGAAATGTTTGGTTAGTTCGGCTTTCATCTGGACTCACTAAACATTGTCCTTTTAAGCTGGCTGAAACTTAATTAATATTACATGATATCCACCACACTTACTCAAAATACAAGGGGTAAGACAATCCTTTATCCTGTCACTACTGGTCGAATACGAGACTATACACCAGTCTGAAAATTCCTTTAAAGTTTGTGATCGCAGTTACCTATACGGGAACAAGTAATTGGGAAATGGAAGGTGGCAAGGTTAACTCTTGTAGGTGGATGTTTTACTATAATATATTTATCAAGTTAATAAAATACTATGCTATTATTTTTGTCAAATGCCAAGATAAACGTTACGGCTTCAGTTCTGCTGAGTGGTTTCCAACTAAACCTGCAATTTGTTCGTCTATTTAAAGGTTCAATCAATCTTCAAATTTTATTTCCAATTTAAATGTCACCCTGGTAATATAAACTTTTAGCCGCTTACTACAGACTCGGCTAGGGAGAATTCTCTTTAGCTCGTCTGGTAGAGCAAAAGACTTAAACCAGAGGTTCCGGGTTGGACTTCTAGCGGAGGCATTGAAAATAACCTCAGTTAAATCAATCATATTTTAAGTACACAATAGACTCATTGGAATTCTTGTTCAAATGAATAAGAGTAACGAATTCTATCCCCAGCCACAATTTACCACAGGGACTTGAGAATTTGGTACCATCACTCGGGGTGTCAGTTTTACCGATAGTTGATTTAAACCCCTACATATCTAACATTTCTCTCTACGCATCTACTGACACATTCTTGGGTCCCTGTGATTTGAATCAACCAGAACTGGGCTACACAATCACAAGTTTTTCTCCTACTATTCACAGAAGTATCCCCTGTTTTACTAGGGTGTTATACCCCTAGGGTATGATTTCTGTCGCTATCTAGGTTATGAGTTCTCTGTCACCCCCTAGGGTATGATTAATATAATCTTCCCCTACCTTGAAGGTGTGACAGAGAAATTTCTTACCCGAGGGTAAGACAACCAAAAAATCAACCCGAGGGTAGGAGATTTCTCTGTCACGCCTTCAAGGTAGGGAAAGATTATATTAATCATACCCTAGGGGGTGACAGAGAACTCATAACCTAGACAGCGACAGAAATCATACCCTAGGGGTATAACACCCTAGTAAAACAGGGGATACTTCTGTGACGTCACAATTACCGGTGAAACATTTTTATGACGTCACAATTGAACACTTGCGGCACGAGGCTATCTCCCCAAAGGGTGGGAAGCTTTTCTGACACCCTTCACAGGTGAGTTTCCCGTTTTAGCCGGGAAAGATCAGCTTTTCTCCCACCCTTCACAGGTGTGTCTACCGTTTTAGCCAGGAAAGATCAGCTTTTCTCTTACCCTGGACAGGTGTATCCGCATTTTTACCGGTGTGAGATTTCCTTTTCTCCCACACCTGACAGATTTATCTCCCGTTTTGCCGGTGCTAGATTTATCTGTCTCCGCCCTAGGGTTGAGACGGGGGGATTCCCCTATTCATAACAATGGCATGACGTCACTTCAACAATACAATGACGTCACGTCAACAATCCATCAACAAATTGCCTGTATGTGTTTTGGGTCCATGTTTACCTTTATTTCACATTAAAATACTGTTAGATATGGGAGAAAAATAATCAATCGCTACTGGTTGTGTAAGATAGAGAAATCTCAACCCTCGAACTAAGATTTTTTGTCCAGAACTCGGCAAGCCTCGTTCTGGACAAAAAATCTTAGTCCTCGGGTTGAGATTTCTCTATCTTACACAACCAGTAGCGATAGATTCTATTAGTCTCACCCTAGGGTTGAGACGGGGGGATTCCCCTATTCCTAACAATGGCATGACGTCACTTTAACCATACAATGACGTCACGTCAACAATCCATCAACGTCACGTCAACCCTGAATTTAGCATGTAACGTTATCATTACATTGTGCATATGATACACAATGAAAGAACAGGGTAAGAGAAAAAGAATCATTCACCCCCTTGTGGGTGAGATAGTGGAATCTCAACCCTCGGGGAAAGATTCTTTATTTGCCAAACACTCGGGAAAGCCTCGTGTTTGGCAACTTAAGAATCCTCCCCCTCGGGTTGAGATTCTCCTATCTCACCCAAAAGGGGATGAAAGATTATATTAGTCACCCCCTAGGGGGGATAGCCTCGTGCCGATTAGCACGTGTTCAATTGTGACGTCATTAAAATGCGTCATCGGTAATTGTGACGTCATCAAAAACGAATGACGATATGCATGCCCCATGTTTTTGTTTACAAACATGGCAGACTACTGTCGGTGGAGCTG